GGGATAAGTAAAATTTTGTCCTGACCTGACTTGATTCGTTGCCATCCTTAACTACTCATTTACGGCTAAATGTCTAATATGCCAACTTACCAACTCCTCCATTAGTTTTAATTACGTGTTTATTCTCTTAACCAACGATTAGGTACAATAATGTTTTGATTGATTAAGGATTCCTTTTTTAGGCATGCATTGATGGGAATTGCTATAGCGAGTTAGATGAAATATAAGTCAAATTAATACTATAATTAAGTATATGGTATTTAAAACAATAATAATTAAATGCAAAGATAATATATCATGGGCATTGTTTTTTATTCAAAGCTGTAGTTGGAATTTTGATGGGACTTCCAATTAGGGTGGGCAATCCAATTCACTCACAATCCGATCCAAACTCATAAGATCTGATTTTCTTTTTAAAATCAAGTTTCGGGTCAAGTTGGATAGTGCTAAGAAGAGGTTGAGTTCGGGTTTTAGACAAACTCGATCCAACCCGACATTATATAAAAATAATTTTTTTAATTAATTTTTTTATTTATATAATTATATATTTAAATATTTATATTTTAAAAAATAATATTTTATATTTTAAAAATAATATTTTATTAATTTTAGATCGGATTTGATGGATATAAAATCGAGTCGGATTCGAGACAAATAAAAACTTGCTTTGATTCGATCCATTACCAACTCTACTTCCAATCAGTCAACTGGATAGCAAAAGAACAGACTTTTTGAGTTAGATTATTAATTAAACAATGTATATTTCAAAGCAACTGTATTTAAATAATGTATTGGGATAGAAATTTGTATTTCATAATGAGAATATAACAGGAATAGTAAGGAACTGTAGCTAAAAACAAACAAACATTTGTACCTATAACCAAAGTTTTCAAAAATTTCATGATATACATTTTTTCTTTTTTTTGTGATTTGGGGGCTTTATTTTCAAAGTCAGGCATAAACATTTTAAACCACAGTAATGATATTCAGAATCCATCGAAATTGTCAATACAAACAATTAAACAGGATTTAGGTAACAGAAAAGCCAAATTCACATTATTTTCAAAGTGAAGCATAAACATTTTAAACAACAATAAAAAAAATTTTTTAATAGTCTCATGAGCAATTGGAGATGTTAATTTGTTTGAATGCCTGTTGGACACAATTGCTTCAAAGCAATTACAGAGAAAGTGTCTTCCAATCTTCTCGAAATTGAGAAATTCAAAAGAGGTTGCTTTCTCAAACTCATCAATTTTTGAAGAAAAATTTAAACATGAGGGTAAAAGGGGAGTCAAATCGATTTGTTTTCGAAATAGGTGAAACATTTTTATGATTGAAGAAAAACGAGAAATCGCAATGGATGGAATAATGATAAAGGAATTGAAAAGAAGGAAACAATGAAGAAAATCAATTAAATGAACTCTCCCTAGTAACAATCCTCTTCAAATTCAACGAATAGATTTTTCCTCTTGAAAAAAAAAAATCAAACGGTATTAAATCATGGTGGAAAAGAAGGAAGAGCTTGAAAAGAAAAACCCTAGACACATAAAGGAAGTTCAAAGAATAGGAAGGCCAAAAGTCAGCAACATCTCTAATCTTTTCCGCCGGTAGAAATGAAACGTCAGCAGGCAAACATATGAGAAGGCCAGAGTTCAGTCTATATTGCATGAAGATGCAAGAATTGGCACGTGTCATTATTTTAGACATTGTGGATAAAAATAATGGTACGTTACATTTAAAAAAATAAAAAATATACAAATGACAGTAAAAATTAATTATTATAAAAAAAACATTTAATTTCACAATCATTGAAAAATCACTTAAACATAACGCAAAAAAAAAAAAATTTATGTCACAATTTTCATACCAAAAGTTAATAACAAAATTATTAGTAGTTATTATATATCTATTGTTATTATTATTATTATCATTTAAATAAAAAATAATGAAAAAGATATTAGTAATTAGTTATTATTAACCATATGCCAAAACTGAAGAAACTACATTTATAGTTGGTCCAAATACATTATTAATCTCAATAAAAAGTATATTTAAGTAATATTTTGAAAGTCTTAATCTGATTTGCACTGATTTAATTTGATCTCTAAATTTTTTTATTTATTATACTTGATTTTATTATTATTATTATTATTTACGTTGGGGCCCAACCAAAAGCCTAATTTAATCACACATTTTTATATATTAAATTATGTTTGTTATACAAAATTATAATAAGATAAGATAAGATGATATTATAAATAATATTAAATTAAATAATATCATCTTTGCTTATATTTGATATGTATAATGATTAAAATAAGATAATTTATTTATTAGTCAAAATTATTTTTGTAAAGTTTATATAATTTAAATTATTAATATAATTTTTAAGAATATAATAAAAAATATAAATTCAATCTCATGAATTAAAAATAATTATTTTTATTTTTATAAGATTAAATTATCCTAAACGAAAAAGATAATAATCATTCTTATAAATCTATTCTATTCAATTAAATTTAAACTAAATATAATATAAAATAATTATTATACTAAGTTATTTATTATTTTATATACTAAACATTACCTAAAGAGGTAATACTAAAATTAAAAAACAAGGGGCGACTAATTTGTCTTTAACTCCAAAAGTATTTGCAAGCAATAACGGGCATGACTTTTTGCCAAGCAAATTATGGTAGCAAAGTTGATTATGAAAACTCATTACTCACTGAAAAAAAAAACAAAACAAAAACAAAAAGAAAAACGAAAGGTTCATGAATGATCCAACATGCAGGATGGAGCAGCCACAAACCTTTCAACGCTAGACCATTCTAGCAAATATTTATAACAAACTTTAGAAAAGCACTACTTTTCATTCTTCTGATGGAGGACTAACCACATTGCCAATGGTTTCAGTAGCCCTAATTTAGTATACAATCTAAGAATTATCATTTCTTATATAGTTTCATATAAATTTTCAACCACGATGATATTTAAAAATCATATAAAGTTAAATTTTGTATTTTTTAAATTTTACTTAAAGCTATTATAATCATAAATGTTAGCTCAAAATTATGCAATTTTGAAAATATAAAAAAATAAAAAATATTATCAGATGGTCAAATTATATTAAAGGTTTTTGTACTCTGTCAAAACTTAAAATTTAATCTTTGTACAATAATTCATATAAATTTATTCTTTTCACTATTTTGATTTAACATTTTTAGTCTAATTACTAATTTCGTCAAATTTTTGCAATTAAAAATACTAATGTGGCTATTGATTTGATGATTATGGCACTGATTTTGTTGACATAACATTGATTTTACATGTGACAATTTGAATGAATGAAATCAATTATTAAATTATGTGAATAATTAGTATATTCACACGAAATTTGAATTTTAATCCCTTGAGTATAATTTTATAAAAATCTCATATTCATGCAAGTTAAATTTGACAAAACTAATCCAATTACTAACAAAAATCATAATTTTCTTTTTACTTTTTTAAAAAAAATCATATTTTAATTTTTATAAAAATCAATATTTTGAAAATTTTAAAGGTTTTTCATATTTTTTAAATATTAAATTTAATTTTAAAAATTTTTAAATATGATTTTATTTTTTAAAAATTCAATATTTTTGAAACTTTTAGAAAATTTTTAAAATTTTTAAAATATTAAATTTAAAATTTTCAACAGTTCAATTTTTTTAAATTTCATTTTTTGAAAGTTTATGTATTTTTTCAAGTTTTAACATTTTATTTAAACAAAATATTTAATTTTAATATTTTTTAACGTTTTAAAATTTTTATAAAATTTTCTATATTTTATAATTTTTTTAATAAATATTTTATATATTTTTTATTTTTTGTATTTTTAAAAAGAGTTTATAAATTTTTAAAAAAAATTTACATATTTTTTTATGTTATTTAGTAAAGAATAAATTGAAATTAGAAGTTTTTCATACTTCATTATTGCTCTGTTTTACCTTAAATTTTTATATTCTTTCATCTCGTATAAACCAAAAAGAAAACAAATTCTAACATGTTTTCTTTAAAATTTATTTATTTATTCATTTAAATGTTAAAAAATATAGAAATTTTATAAAAATCATAAAAAATAGAAAATAGAAAATTTTATAAAAATTAAAAGATTAAAAAGAAAAAAAATAAATATTTGATTAAATAAAATATTAAAATTTCAAAATAATAAAAAAGTTCAAAAAAATGAATTTTATTGTAAAAAATTAACTTATTGAGAAAAGTAAATTTAATATTTTTAAAAATTCAAAAAAATTTCTAAAAATTGAAATATTAATTTTTTTTAAAAAATAAAATTTTATTTTAAAAATTTCCAAAAACATGTCTTTTAATTTAAAATATTTTAAAAATTAAATTTAATATTTTTTAAAATATGGAAAAATTCTAAAATATTTAAACTATTTAATTTTAAAAAAATAAAAATCAAATTTTTTAGAAAAGTAAAAAAATTATTTCTATTAATAATTGAATAAATATTATTAAATTTAACTTATACGAGAATAAAACTTTAAATTTTGTATGAATATATGAATTATGTACATTAAGTTTATTCATTTGAATTATCAAATTAATAAAATTAATATTATGTTAATAAAATCAACATTATATCAATAAAATTAATGATCACATCAATAAATTTTAATTAAAAATTTAAAAAGTAATGATTAAATTAAAATAATATGAAAATTAAATTTATATAAATTATATAGTAAAAACTAAATGTTAAATTATAATAAAGCACAGAAATCTCTTGGACCCTATCAAAAAGCAAAGGTGAAAGTAATGGTGGCAGACAAAACCTCCCCACAATGAAGAAAAAAAAAAATCCAAACGTTCACGAAATTACATGATTAGATATTAGTAAACGATAAGATTTGGTGGGCATTTTCATATCGGATAAGGGCGCGTCACGGACTCTCTCGAATTAATTATTTTATGCATCTTTTTTTTAAAGGGTCCCATTAATCATTTATATATTTTAATTTAATTGTTTTTTTGACAATCCACGACAGATGTTAATCCACGTGTCGAGTTTTAGCACTCTTGCCTTCATTTTGAAGATGAGAATTGAAGTCACTGTCACCGCCACCAAGACTGAACCACCCACCAAAAGAGAGAGAGAGGAGAGACATTCTCTCTGAGTGAGAGAGAGAGCAGAGACTGTCAACAAAACTAGTTTTGGAGAAGGAAATTAGGGGTTTTTTTTGGGGGTTGATTATTGGGGGAGGATTGATCAGAATTTGGGTTTTTTTTTCTTTTTTTGTTTTTGTTTGGGGTGGGAGGAGATGTACATAGGCTCTATGCGAAAGTCTTTCAAGGACTCTCTTAAAGTGCTTGAAGCTGATATCCAACATGCTAATACTCTGTAAGTTTTCTTTTTGTTTAAAAAACAAATTTCTGGGTTTTTTTCTCCTTTTTTTTTTTGTGGTTTGGTTATTGTTTTTGGTTTTTTTTTTTTTTTTGTTTGTCTTTGCTCTCGTTTCTGCTTGAAATGAATGCTACTACTGTCCACAAAGTTTGAAGCTTTTTTTTCCCCAAAAATTTAAAAACATTGGTTCTCAGATCATGATTGTGAATTATATTTTACTTGCCCAGCAAAATGTTATCATCGGTTTCCTGTAAAAATTGTTTCTTTCATTTTGACTTTCAAGTATTTTTCTTTTAAAAAAGCCTTAAGCATAAATTTCTTTATCTTCAACTGCTCTTAGCGAAGGCATTTGATTTTCACCCCCTCCATATTTGATTCTTTGCCCATTTTCTAAGGAAAACAAATCTGGGTGGTGTTAAACTTTTTTTTTAGTTCCTGAAGATCACTTTTTCTTTTTTGAGAGAGGGGAGATGCTAGCTTTTATTCAGTCTGTCCCTTTTAGCCGAAGTTATTTCTTTCAGCTTATTTTAGTCAGTAATGCATTTAATATTTCTGGTTATAGTAGGTTGAGTTCAGTGTCTTCTACTGACAATTTTTTTTCCCAAATAGATGCTAGTAATTTTCTTAATTCTGAGTGACATTTTTGTATATAAACTTTGTTTTGGAAATGTTAGAGTAGTGCAAGAGTGAAATAATTCTTTTCAGAGATTGCAAGATTGCATCTTTTTGTGGGACATTTTCGTTATCTTGATAGATTTTTCCCATTAACTTCACGTGGCGAATGGGTTCCACTTTATTGTACAGCTTTCAGTATTGTTTTTCATCTTTTCATCGCTATAATATAAGCATCAGGGTTAAATCATCAATTACTGGCCCCAGCTCAATAAATGCATTAATAGAGTGTATTGATTCTTATACATATACATTTATGCTATCGTTTATGCCTTTTAGGCTGATAAACTGATCCATAGAATCGGTGTAAATTGCTTGTAACTTGAATAATTTAGTAGTACTATTGTTAAATTCCTGAGTTTTGTTTTTTTTTTTTTTTTTTTTATATTTAAACCTTCTTCTGGGATAAACACCGGAAATCTTAGCCAGCTAGAAGATAAGTTATACATTTTTTTGTGGTTGCTGAAACAGGGGTCCTAAAAGTAGCTAATACAGTTGTTCTACAATTAGTTGTTTTGAACATGAACCCTTGGATAGAAGTGAACTGCTAGAAGAAACTATAGTTGTTGCTCATTCTGTGTAATTCTGCTTTGCAGCAGTGCATGTTCGTCAATATATTTTGACCTAATTTGCTTAATATCATTATTATGTATTTCTCATTCTGCTTGAATGCCCATGCCCATCATGCAATGCAAAGTGCAGGGCTTCAGATTTTCCAAGGGAGTATGATGGTGCATGCCTTCAAATGAGAATGTCATACAGTCCAGCTGCGCACCTGTTCTTATTTTTGGTGCAGTGGACTGACTGTCACCTTGCTGGAGCCCTTGGGCTGTTAAGAATACTAATTTACAAGGTTATATTTTGTTACTTTGTGTTTAACTCATATCGTAATCATGAAAGTTAGCTGATTTCATCATTGTATCACATTCTGCAGGTTTATGTGGATGGAACTACCACCATGTCTACACATGAAAGGAAAGCCAGCATAAGAGAGTTCTACGGTATCTTTCTCAATCTGAGTGTTTTGGTGCACTTATGGAATGTAGTTCTTACCTTGAGTTATCCTAATGCCTCTGAATTCCTACTGTGTCCAGCTGTTATCTATCCCTCTTTACTGCAACTTCAGAGGGGTGTCACTGATACTGAAGATAAAAAACAGAAAGTAGTGTGCATGGAAAGGTACCGAAGAAGAGAAGATGAAGAGTGTATGCAGCTTAATGATGTTGATTTTGAAAGAGAAGAAGAATGTGGAATATGCATGGAGATGAACAGTAAAATTGTGCTGCCAAACTGCAATCATGCTATGTGCTTGAAATGTTACCGTGAATGGTATTCTTCCTCTCCCCTACCCTGCATTCCCTTATCCCTCTCTCTTTTGCTTCTTATATTTTTATATGATTTTTGTCATATCATCAATCATGCAAACATCCTCGAAAGTTCTCCTGTTTTGACGTCCCAAGAGTTGGTAGGACTACAGTCCCAACTCCCTACTAATATATGGCATAGACAATAATGACCTCTCTAGGATCTTGATTGTTTTGTTGTTTTTCCTTCATAACCTTGCTTGATATATGTGTCTTGTGAATGGAGCCCATGGAGTGAAGGAGATTAAAAGGAGAGAATTTGGAATAAAGTAAAATTGAAGTGCCAGGTAGATATGTTGCTTCAAATGCTATTTAAAGTATGATGGAATTGAATCTTTGATGCTTATTGCTAAAGCTTATGATGATGCAGCATTTAAAATGAAGAAGTTTGTGTTTTCTTTAATCTTTGTAAGAGGGAACCATACATGTCAATCCAGATGATCCAGTTGCTTTTTTTTTTTTTCCTTCTATCTAGTGTCTTGACTTCAACATCATACTTGTTTTCAAACTTCATATCTAAACGCTTTTCTGTATCCTCCATCTAGGAATCATCAGGTTTTAGAAACTGTTGAATCTAAATGCTTTTCTGTATCCTCTATCTAGGAATCATTAGGTTTTAGAAACTGTTGAAGTCATCACTTCAGTAAGGTGTCTCGGGTTGGGCAAATTGCTTTATCACATAAGTAGTTCAACTAGACAGGGATTACTGACTGGTCTGAGTTTTTAAAGATGATTTTTCATTCCCTTTAAATATAAGGGAGCATTGTCGAATCTAACTTGGATAGCGTTCTGGAGCAATAACCCTGTAATGTTCTAGGTTGATTCTCGGTTTGCATCATATAGCTTCCTGATTATCTACAATACTTGTTGGTTGTTGCCTTTTTTGGTATGATCAAAGTTCTGAAAAACTGAAAGTGGAACTGAAAAGTATTGCTGCTTGTAATAAGGTATCCAGTAATCTTATCCGTAATAACTTTGCAATGGTGTCTCTTGTTATCTGTTATAATCCTGAAACTTTTTGTCAACTTATCTGGTGTTCAGAGATGGTCAATGGATAGGGTATCAGCAGGTTGTCTTAACATCATGATATGTCCTAAGTGCTAGTCATAAAATCATGGGTATAGTATAAGTGCTAGTTTCCTATTCCCCCAATTCTTGGATTTTTTATTTTCTTTTACAATATTGCCCATGGACGACAGTAGATGGTTTTTGGTGATAATAAGGATCTGTTGCAATGAATTGCAGGCGGTCAAGGTCGCAGTCCTGCCCCTTCTGCCGTGATAGTCTTAAGAGAGTTAACTCTGGGGATCTCTGGATATATACAGACAGCAGGGATATAATTGACATGGCCACAGTGACGAGGGAGAATCTTAGAAGGCTTTTCATGTATATAGATAAGTTGCCACTGATTGTTCCTGATACCATTTTTGATACTTACGATTCCCACCTAAGGTGATAAGTACATTCTAAAATATCTTCTCTGTGATCTCAGTATTTTCCGCTCGTTTTATCTTCGATTACATAACGACCAAATCACTCGATTTGGCAAATTTAGGTCAGCCAGTACTGCAGTGCTCTCTTCCCACTTCTCACCAGAAGAAAAACCCTGCCCGAGTTATTGTGGGCTGGTGGTGAAGTTGAGGTAGTTCATCTTAGGAGCCTATAAATTGTATTGAGTACATTTGTATATGCATTGTATAGCCTAAAGTTTGATGATAAAAATCCTTTCCAAATTATTTTCTGTCTTATCTGCATTTTAGTACCTCTTTTATGACGTATTTGTTTTCGCATACAAATCTTTTTATTATAATTTTTTAATATATGTGTAATTTTTTAATCATAACAAAAAGTATTTAAAGATTCATTGTTTATAAATATGAATTTCAGAATTGGAATTGATTAATTATAGTATAATAATTATGGGATATACGTCGTTTTTTGTTTTGTGCTTGCGGCTTCGAGTTCTTTTGTCGAGGTGATTACACGATCGGTTGTTCTGTTGCTGAGGTTTGAGCATAAAGATGTAGTCTACACCTCTTACTTTTTTATGGCAAAAGCAAACTCTAAAATGTGGGCCCTTGTGTCGCCTCTGCCACTGTTAACGCTTCTTGGTTTGTGAAACGCCGTCCATATGGAAAACGCATCTAAATTTTTAGTGACTGAAAAATTAGCAACTAAAGTATCTTCTCTTTTTTTTTTTCTTTTTTTTTTTTTTTTTTATGCATCAAACTTATGACGGTTTTTGTAAAAAAAAAAAAGGGCACAATCATTCTAAAGAACGAGGCAGCCAAAAAAGACAAATCTCTGGAAAGGAGATAGGATAAGAAGAGAAAAGGTAAATAAACGGTTGGTAGAGAGGGCGAAAGAAATGGGGAGAGGGGGGAAAAAGCGAGACGAAGTGAAAGGAGGAGTAGTAATGGCAAATGGCCTTTTGTGGTCATCTATAGATGAGCCTCATGCTTCAAAGAGACGTCAGATCCTCTCTCAGTACCTCAAATTAAAGTACTCTTTGGCCCTTATCACTTTGCTTTCCTTGAGGTATCCCGTCACTTCTTTTCTTTTTCTTCTCAATCTTCAATTTGTTTGTTTCACTGCTTTTAGATCTGGGGTAATGCCACTGGATAAAACCTTTTGATCTTTTATCTATTTTTTCTCTGTTTTGTTATTTAGCTAAATGGAATCTGGGTCTTTTCTTTTCTTTTTTTTTCTTTCTCTTTTTTGGGATTAAAAGAAAGTTGTAACTTTCAAGTCACATTGTTTGGAATTAGGCTCTTCAAGCGATTTGATTCCATGGTTTTTTTTTTTTTAATCATTGATGCTTCGAAATTTTCATTTTTGTCTTTCAACTAGCTTTGGTCTTTGAGATTGTGGTTCACATCACCTAGTTGAAGTCACCATCAACTTTTTACCAAACCCATCTCTTTTTTTTTGGTTTTATTCTTATTCTTTTCCCTCTATTGCTGGTTTTTTCTGATAAAGAACTTTCAAATGATAGATCCATTTGAAGTGAATTGTGTTAATGAATATAAAGAAATGTGTGCAATACTCATCTTCTTGAAACTTTGGCATTGCAGATTAGTACGTTTGTTTTGCTTTGGCTATGGACCGCTACTACCCTCCATGATGCTGGCTGGCTGAAGATGTTGGCAATTGCCTATTTTTTTGGTTAATTCCTCAACCACAACCTCTTCTTGGCCATCCATGAGTTCAGCCACAATCTTTCCTTCTCCACTCCTGTCTACAACCGTTGGCTTGGGATTTTTGCTAACCTCCCTATAGATGTGCCCATGGCTGTCACTTTCCTGAAGTATCACCTTGAGCATCATCGTTTCCAAGGGGTAGATGGCATGGACACGGATGTCCCAAGCTACACCGAAGCCCATCTTTTGATTAATGTTGTCTCGAAAGTCATTTGGGTCATCTTCCAACACTTCTTCTATGCGCTCCACCCTCTATTTATCAAACCAAAGCCCCCTGGTTATTGGGAGTTTATCAACTTATTTATGCAGATTGCTCTTGATGCGACCTTAGTTTATTTTTGGGGCTGGAAATCTTTTGCTTGTTTGATCCTTTCAACATTTGTTGGGGGTCCATTTCATCTCTGAACATTTGTACTCAAGCCTGATCAGGAGACGTATTCTTACTATGGTCCCCTAAATCTTTTGACTGGATAAGGTAAAGGAGATTGCTCCAGAATATTATTAGGAATTGGAATCATATAAATCTTGGAGCCAGTTATTTACATGTATATTATGGATCCGAGTGTTGGGCCATTTAGCCAAATGAAGAAGAAGCTCTCAAAAAAAAATCTGAATCGGAGTTTCCCCATTCGCTGTCTTTTTCTTGTCCCCCCTTCTTGGTTTCAATGTGGGATTACTACATTTCTTATCCTAATCTTGTTTTTGTTTGTAAAATTCTTGAGGAATATCATTTAGTTTTAGACGTTGGAGTTAGTTATTCTTTGATTAATCATTCAAAGATCAATTTTTTTTTCACTCATATATCTTTGGACATTTGAGACAGGCTTTGTTGTTATTGGTTTTTTCTCGTGCGTTATTCAAGACACTCTCATAACTTAAAATTCATCAAGAATAGCGTAATAAATTACTATATAATTATACAGTGGCCAGTTAAATCATGTTCTAAGCGTAAATAGTACAGATCATATATAGATCATTAATAAGAAGGATATAGATACATACAAAACATTGGGTAATTGATGCTATATCTTGCTGGTATAAGGTCCTAGGCTGCCTCTAACTTGGTTGTGCTTGCATGGTGTGTTCTGCTTTTCTGATGTCTTGCGAATGATACAGAAAATTGCTGCTACCCTTTTCACTTATTCGTCTGTTTATGATCAATCAATAACATCAGAAGAGACCAACAGAAGTAAATAAAAATGTCGTATTTTCACCAGGGAAAAAGGCAGTTGGAAAGAATTCTTACATTCCAAGCTTCATTCTTGTTAGTAAAGGGATAATCTCCAATGACATAACCAGGATGTTGAGCATGGTTATTTATGAGGGGAAGCCTGGTTGGAGGGAATTCTTCATCACTATCATAGATGGAGCATTGATTGGGGCCAAGGGCTCTGAGGGCCATGGCTAATAGTACCGAAAGTCCCTACGGAGGGAGGGGAAGGGAAAAACAACCAGCTGAACATAACATAGTTTCGGAACTTAACAATATCCTTCATGATGATTTCTTTCAAAGATCTAAATTCATAAATATTCATTCTTCTTCTCATTTTCGGTTTTGAAGTAGTAAAGTTTGGTCAAGTCATCATAATTCTTAAAAGAGGAAAGCAAAGTAGATGTTTAACAAGATCTACCACTAATGAGTTTACCTGTCCTAAGATGATAAGCAGGCCAATCCATTTGAAGATGTCAATGTTAGATTGCACAAATTCTTTGAAATTATGGAACCTCCCCGTTGGATCTTCAGGTAAATCCTGATCAGTGACAAGAAATCAGACGCAAGAGAGACTAAGTGAAGCAGATAAGGAAATTCACAAACCTTCTCCCAGTCAGAATTTAAAAGTATATCAGCTGCAATTCCAGTCTCTACCAGGAGAAGCACAGAGATGATCACCATATACTGCTTCCATTTAAGGACAACAAGTATTGCTTGGCTGGCACTAGATTTGTACCGTTTACATATTCAAAAAGGAAGTAATGCTTCTTACTTAGACTTCTGAAGAATGGGAACAGGCATTAGTAAAGAATTTCTTGAACTCGAATAAAGCATTAGAATGAAAACGCAATGAAAAAGGATACACAGAAAAGGCAAAAACCATTCGCGCTGTCTGCAGCAGTATGACCTAGGCATGTTAGGCAGCATAAGGTGACGCCTGTGCCCAGAAAAGTGTATATAAACCTGCACTTTTAGAACCAATGTTAGTAAGAATTGTAACTTTCTCCTAAAATAAACAAGGCTCAAATAGCGGGTGAAATTAGCAGAAACATATGCGCAAGAACAAACTTTGTTAAAACTCATAAAAGAGCTCAACTCAATCACCATGGAGCAGTAGAGTTAAAGTCATCAAATGATGAACCTCCCATGTCTCTCTGCCAAACTCTTACCATCCAAAAACCATATAAAATCATAGCAACCCCCACCATTGCCATTATCAAATTCACACCTTTCAGGATTGATTGCATGCAAGATTTTATAGTTCTTGCCATTATGAGAAGAACCCCCCAAGCCGATTTTTCTGATAACCAGGATAATCTCAAGATTAACAAGTAGCTTCTTGGGATCTTGGACACTATAGACCTTTGAATATCGGACAAGGAGAAGAAGGTGTGGCAGTGGTTTACAATCAAAGAAACAGTGACATTTTTATTGTTTTTCTCTTGTTTGTGTGCTCATTCCTCACATAGAAAAATTTTAAGATGAACAGTTTGATGCACCATCAAGTTTCTTTAGAAAAATTTATGCGTCTGGCTGTTGAGTTATAAGGTGAAAATTTTGCTAATCTAACTTCATAAAAATATCCATAAGCTACACTTGTTTATTTATTTATTATATCCAAATGTGTGGGATTTTAATTGCCTGAGTAAAAGGGTATGGTACATAAATTTTAAATTTCCACAGGAACAGGTGAAAATAATTAATGCCATTGTCAAATGGAATGATTGAAAGAGGAAATTTCTCGGAAACTATCTGTCTGTTTTCTTGTTGCTTGGCTTTACATCTTTCCATACCAGCAAATAATGACCCCCATTCCATGTGTTCTAAAAAAAATAAATTATCGATTTAATCCACACTCGCACATCGAAGGTTGCTGTGGTGTAGTGGTTATCACGTTAGTCTTACACACTAAAGGTCCCCAGTTCGATCTTGGGCAGCAACAAATTTTGTACATTTTTTTTACAAGACTGGCGCTTTTGATCAATTAATTTCCTCATAATAAATTGGTAGGCAATTAATCTCCTAATATTTTTCGTTGAGTTTTCCTTTTTTCTTTTTTTTTTAGTTCTTAATATATCTTTAATCTTCTTTACCCTACTACATTACTTGACTAAAGATAACATTACACACCCAAACTCTCTCAAACTTGCAAACTCAAAATTTCAACTCTAATGACATGCTCATATCTTGTTTGTAGTTGTGCCCGTTGTTACAATTATCATGCTCTATTCCAAAATTGGGAGGTGTTACTGTTTACTTGATATATTTAATATTATAAGAATAAAATTAAAGCGAAACTAAAAAGCAGAAAACTGAGAAATATTGCTTTGATTTTTATTCTACTATATATTGATTTCGATATTTGACACAGTTAAGTATATATTGGCAGGTGATTTTGTCAAAATCTCCACAAATAAATACAGGGTGCTTCCCCTACCTCTGGCTTCAGTGACAAAGAATGGGGCCTGTCAGCCTTGGATTTCAGTTAAGAAATAGTTGTTCCTCTGCCCCTATCTTATTCATACCAAGACAGATTCAGGTTGACAGCTTCCAACCAAATGGAATTTCAATTACAACCCACACTGCAAGTGAAGATTCCTAGCAGCCATCTCGCTAGCAAAACTTTGAACGATCTCGTTCAGTGTGCATTATCAGGAGATTGGATGATATACAATCTCTACTTGTTTCCGCGAAGATGCTCTCGCATAAGCATATGAATCTCTGCCTTGACAGCCATTTGCATTTTTTTAGCATCCTCCCATAGTAAACCACCATGCACTCGGGCAAAGTCAGAAGCAGTCTCAAAGATGTCCTGTCCAATAGAAGGCATGAACTCCAAAATATGATCACAAAATATTCAGAATATCACTCAAACCAAGATGTTTGAGATTACCCTCGAAGAAAATTCATCATAAAAATGAGCAGGGGTCATCTCAACTCTATTTAAATCAGTTTCCCACAATCTTATCTGCAACAAAGAGTGCTTATCAAAATTAGAAAGTGAGAAATAACAAGATCGTCCCTATTGTAATCTACTCTCTTACAGAAAATGGCATGCTCAATATGCTTCCCTGGAAGTCAGGATGTATAGGTTCAAATGAGTTGATCACATGATAGTGGCAAAATTTTAAGCAGATTAACTATTTAACCTGATCTGTGACATTTTCGGGTACAGATGGTAGTTTCTCAGCAACTCGAGGATGTGCATTCTGCTGGAGGAACGTAATTATCTGTATTCAGGGGTTACACAAAGCAAACAAAGCTGCTCAGGCTACATTGGATGATTTCAGATTTTACAATTGTCAATGGTGTGATTTCTTGCATGTCCAGATCCTGCAAATTCGGACATAAAAAAGCAACTAGAAATGGATACTAACCTGCTCAGCTGTAATTCCATTTTCAAAAGCATTGTACAGGCTTTCTTTTGTTATTGCGCCAACTATGAGGTTTGGAAGTTGATACTCTACCCTACAAACGTGAGCACATTATTATTTAGTCAAGAAATCAACAGTGAGTATAGGAGTAATAAATATTAGAATCCTAGAACAAGCAGGTAAAAGTGGTTGGTTATAAATGGCAATCAGCAGATTATAGGTGAAATGAAGAGCCTTTGGGCATTATTGAGTGAATAAATAGAGTGGAGAACTTGAATCAGAAAAGAGAAATATTAATCAGCTAAGTTTTTGAATCAAGCACTAACAGCTCCATCATTTACTTACAAATTTATTACTACACTTTTATCATCTTTTACTCAAAATCACCTCTTGAAAATGATATTCAAAAGTTATCCTAAGGAAAGACCATTTTTCCAAAAAATTTAGCAGATAATTAATCACTTTGCTCATTGTTTGAAGATTGTTTTGTTATTATTCTATATAAATACAATTTGGATCTTCCATAAAGCAACCGATACAGCATTTTCTAAACTGAACATAATCAAGGATTCATCACCTTATACCTTGAAAAATAGACGTAAAAATTTCACAGTGTAACTTAGATGACGAGTATGCATACATCCTAAAGTTTGTTTCCACAACAACAAATCCCTGAGGCGAAATATAGCAAAGAACTGCATGAGTAAGAGTAACACAACTACAGAAAGCCCAGACAACAGCTAATATAATCAGAAACTATGTATTCACACAAGTCACTTGTTTAGCCATACCTGTTTCCTTGATGATGAATCTGTTAAGCTCACTGAAAGATTTGTGGCTAATTTAGTAGGTATAAACCACCTCTCTCTCCTTCCCTGAACATATGAAAATACCTCAGAACCATCTTAAAGCATTGCTTTTAAAAGATAGTCCATGTATTCCTGTAAGAAGAATAGCCTTAATTAGGAGAACCTGCTGAAGTTTGACCAATCCCAAGTCTGCAAGGTCCTTGATCATAGCCTCCTGGTCATCCGCTAGAGTATTTAAATTATATGCCTATGACAAGACAAAGCAAATTTAGCAAATTAGTCCAGAAAATGCCACATCAAAGAACCTCAAGGAAAGTCGAAAAAAAGCATTACCAAAAGGGGGTAAGCTTCTATGCAAATAACAAAAGACAACTAAGTTCTTGAACAAATATGCATGAATAGAACTTTTCTATGAAATATGCATGAAGAGAAAAGTTATAAATTAATAGGGCGTACCTCACCAGTGGTATGAAAACTAAGTTCTAGCAAAAATGCAATTAAATCAGCTTGGTCTACACCTTGCTCCTGTTGAAAGTCTTAGCATAAGATAAAAATACTTTACTATAAAATGACAGAACAAAAGTTGCATCAATGACCTTAATTTCATGTAAAAAAGGCAACTAGGGACCACCTTTATTTTTCCTTCATTGAAATGGTCAATAAACTGGATCCACCCATCCACAAACACATACACAACGATAGATCTATGTAGGCAATGGCCAGAAATAATTTTTTCCTTGCATTAAAAGTAGCTATCATGACCCATATATAAACACTTCATGCACAATGGTATACACAAGCACACATGTATATACAAGCTCTAGCATTCTTGCACATACGCACACCCTAGGGTACATTCCCATTTAAGAGGAAATACATACTGATAAAAATGAATCAAAGTTCTATGTACCAAAAAAAAAAAAAAACTGAATCGAAGTTCTGAACAGAAAAGTCAATGCCAATAAAAATTTGACAATAAATCCATTCCAATTTCCCACATCCAAGTACTTAACAGCACAATATATGTAACAAACAATTTCCAAGGAAAACACCAAAAAGATACCACGAACTATACCTCTGAATTGGAGATATATTCTCTGATAATATACCAAAGCTGAGCGTTTGTATCCATCAGCTGTAAATTACAGATGGGAAGTAATTTTAGGCAACAGTCAACCAAAGAGAGAAATGCAGAAGGACCATGGTTTATATGATGCACACCAAGAACTGGAAACCACTCTCAGTTAACCTCGGAGCTTCTTTGTCTCTGTAAAAACAGACATATAAACAGCATGAAACAAAACGTGAGATATGGAACCCTCGTTATCTAATGCATAAAAGAAATGAAGCTTAAGTGCAAGGCAAGAAATACCACCTCTGACGTAGCAGACCACGCTGAAAAATTCTCATCATGGAAGAGCTGAAGCTTGACGATCTTTCAGCTTGTCCTGAACTTATAAGTTGCAGCAAGAAACACTGCTTAACAAAGCTGAAGAAGTAAGAAGCAGCTCAAACAATAAACCTAAACAATTCAGCAAATTGCAAAAGTAATTGCATCATTCTACATCACATACATACCATCAAAAACACAAATTCCTTAGAAACAGATGGGTGACATAAATTCTGCCAATAAAACAATCAAAATAAATAGGTGAAATTCACACCTCCCATTGCTCATGTGCATAAGCATCAAGTTCCTCCAAGGTTGGGAGTCTAGCAACAACATTTGAAGGCATTGGTTCTCTAGACAAAATCCCACTGCAAAACAACATTTCTTTATATACTACGACGACAACAACACATCCCAAGGAATCTAATGACAAAAAAAACAATCAACTACATGAGTGATAGAATTGGCTGTAACAAAGGGCAAAGTTTTAGCCCCTTTAATTTTGACTACTGCAAACGAAAACAAGTACCATATAAATTAAAAAAAATACCCATATATCAAATGTTTCCGGAGATTAGTCTGAAATGTGGGGTTTAACTTGTAAGTGGTTTCCTTCTTCCTGGCAAAAAAAAGAGAAGACCGACTAATTCAATTAGCACATACAACCAAAAGAAACACGGTTTTCACAAAGCTTAAGATGATCTGTACTTCCTCTCGATCATTATGGTGGCGTAGCTATTTGATTTTGAAAAGAAAGATTAGATAAAACTAAGTAAATAAGACGACAAATAATTTACAGTTGCTTACCTATCGATTACTTCCAATACTCTTAATTGAATCAACCGATCGATCGCAACTTGGTGCTTAGAGGATCCATCGGCAAGCACCCACTCCTGCAACGACTTGAATGTCATCGGAACATCAATGTATAACATTTGTAACACGTATTTCTTCGCCAGAGGCGGCATCGACCTGCTCCATAAACAAATGCATTCGATCAATAGATAGTTTTTTTTTTTAAATAACAATTTTTAAAAAATTAAAAAAAAAAGAAAAGAAAGGAAGACCTGAGAATGGCTTCGCAAATGAATTGATTATGATAAAGTATGTCGAGCTTAATAGCAGGCAATGAAGCCACCATGTCCATGAAATTCTTCGCGATAATCTTCACCTGAGGCATTTTTCTCTACTTTTTTTTTCTTTAGATTTTTTGGTTTTCGGCAGCATGTACGATGAAACTAGAGCTCCAATCCAGCTTTGATAAATGAAAATTATAATGGTTGCTGATTTCTCTGCATCAGCATGACCAAGCTACGGGGTAAAGCTTTATGCGACGTGTTGGCAGGGACCGAGCATCCTTATGCATTCAGAGGGCCTTTTTTTTTTTTTTTTTTCTTTTTCTTATTGCAAAAGACGGAAACGTGACAACAAGGTTGGGCTGGATATACTGTGGTTTAAAGTCCCAAATAGTGGGCCTACTAAGCCTATTGGACCGACTAATTATTGTTTCATTCGGGCCGCTTAGCTTATTTTGAAAATATCAATCAAGTTCCCAAATATATTCCTTCAATAACTTTTTAAAAAATATATTCTAAACTTGTTGAGTTTTACGGGAAGGCTTGGGCGAGTTCACATTCCCAATTGAGTTTGTCACCAGTCAGTCAGTCATCACTCACCACCAAAGGCCAGATTATTACTCCAAAACGTTGTCGGTAGAGGTTGCGACTGGGCAATAAGCCAGCCAATAGGGCTCCCAACCTCCTTACTTTTATTCTGGAAACCTTTCAAATATCCCAAAGATTTCATGGAACAACGACTGATTTGATGAGTATATCAACTCGGCGAACAAAGAACTTTCCTTGTCCAATCAGAGGGACTCGATCTCCTGCAATCTGTTCTGTACCCAAAATTTCATTCACAAAGATCAACCACAATCAAATGCTGCAAATGCCATGGCTCTGAGTAGTTTCCAATCAAAACTTCAAAGCAAACATTCTGAAGTTTCATTAACGATATGAAATACCCAAATCATCAAATCTCAGCAAGCTTCCATGTGTCATGATTAACAAAAATGGAATGATAAATCGCATTCACATCTCAGTTAGCAGAGATCCAGAAAATTAGAAGTTGATTTGAAGGTTAACTAAGGAGACAAGGGACAAATTACAGAAGAAAAAAATATGCTTCTTCTCCAAAACAGCCCGAGAGGCCAAGACCATATCAAATCAATATTAGCATGTCAGCAACATGATGAATCAACTCGCAGGCTATTCAGCTAGTAAGATTATTGAGGTATTAACTTAATCATATTTTATGTTTCACCTCTTCTATGCTGACGTACTTGGTATATCTTCAGCAGGTTCATCAGGTTTAGTGGCAGGTGGGTTTGGTGGTTTCTTCACTGGAGGAGGCTTGGGTGGTAATGGTCTATTTGGTCTGACTTGATCGACTTTCTCTTTACACATTTCGAACTGCAGTATATAAAGAAACATCAAATTGCCAATAAAACATAGGTGAAGAAAGCGAATGACTAGTCCTTCAAATTCGTGAGGTCAAACCAACCTTATAACCACAGCCAGCTACACAAGCATGGAAGCATTCCTGTGTGCAGAAAAGGAAGCAAAATGAATTTAATAGTATATTTGACCAAAAATTATGCTTTCTTTCATTATTCCGTATTAGACTTAGACATTCTTATCATTCTTTTCTTGGTAAAATTCCTACCATTTACCCAATTGCACTGTGTATACATCCTTATGCTTTGAATTATGAGATGTTTGACTAACAAACTCCAAAGCACATGATATGAAGTACTAATGTTACCAAAGCACCTTGCACCTTTAGTTTGATGCCTCAACATTGTGCAAACCATTACAAATTTAATTCTTTGGAAGTGCCTTATTAGGCAAAGTATAATCAGGATAATAGAACAAGCCACCTTTCAAGAAGCTTCCGTGTGACTATGGTGCTCATCTTCCTACAAGAAGCTCACAAACAGCTAAAGCATACCATGTTTTATGAAGTCTAGAAGCAAGACAAGAAGTGGAGCTGACATCACCAAGCACAGAAACAGTACCTTGGGGCGCTATAGGGAAATGTCATTGTAATAGAATTTCCTCTTTTGAACACTAAATTCAAGTATGCATCCCACATTTTGTTTGAATTCATTGCACCTCCAAGAACATTTCAAACATAATCAAGCAGCATCACTGGTTATCAACTGCAGAGCGCCTAAAAAGCATCCAAGGGAGAAGATTACCCTTGATACACATAAAGACTTAGTTTGTTGTGCCTCAACCTGTCTACACTTACAATCAATTGCAACCCAGTGCAAAAAATCATCTCTGAATAACAGAAGTAGAGAACACCAAACTTAAAAACTGCTATAAACTTTTCCTAGAGAACTGCACTTTAGATTTCTATAGAAAACATAAATCAACTAAATTTGCATAACAGTGGACTTTCAGAAGTTCATAAATAACAGCTCTCATTCTTTCAAAGAAGTAACTCGTAAAGAGGAGACATAAAAACCAGCTCATAACAATCCAATGACTGTAAAAAGCAGTTCAACCATATTTGACATGATAAGCTCGAAGTAAATGACAAAATCTAGGGTCATTACAAGAATAAAAATGGGGTAAAGAGTGGCCAACGGATAAAATACCTCAGAATAATTGGCAGCTCCAGGAGAGCGATCAATGTAAGCACTCCACTGCTGGTCCTTTAATACAGGATCCTTATAGCATATCTCATTGCACTCAGATAAACCTGAAAAGCCCATAATCTTAGCAATTTAAGATATAATCAGCTGCAAATGATATGTTGCCTTACCACTGTATCTTAGTATAACACTATATCCGTTAAGGTTGGTTAAAGAACTCTTCCAATTGATGAAATCTTTCTAAAGTAAATAATCTGTAGAGAATTGAATGCTTGATACATTAATCAATAATGAACCGTTATTCTCAAGAATCAATGATAAGAATGTTGCCCATTCTTCGTTATAAGTTGCCTCATTTTTCTTATCAAAACAAATGAAGCTCAAATTGTAATCAGAACTCATGCCTTAGTCAGATCCTCGGTGAGATTAATTCCTTGCAAATATGAATTAAGCACTGTAAAGCCAAACAATGAACTTCAAAACACTGATGTTTGGCAATTTGATTAAACTATATCAGATTCAATGTACCATACAACTTTTCCTTGGAAACGGTTTATAAATTATATGCAACATAGAAACAAAACTGCTTACATTCTTCCCATGTCTCCCCATCCGCGTCACACCCTTTTTTGCAAAACACTCTCCCTGCAAGAACTCGCCATGGTTAGTAGAGTCAATGGATAGCAGACACACAATCAATCCAAGTATATTTCTCCAATAAATCAATCATTGTTCATAATTCAAAAATAGGTGGAAATTAAAATGAAGAAAATCCCAAATTAGTCTTGTAATCAACTGATTAAGTAAACAAAGTAATTTATAGCTTAAATTATTATTAATTAAAAACCAAATTTAGCAACATGCATAGAGTAAATTTAAAAATCATTTGAAGAAATCCTCTCAATCCCTACAAAGCAATAAAACACCAAGAAATACAAAAATATAATGAATTAAATGGAAAGTTGACCTTGAGGCAAGAAATTCAAATGCAACCAATTCAACCCAAATTCTAAGATCTATTAAATAGATATTGAAAGTATCGTACAGTTTAAAGCAGGGAGAAAGTAAATTAAATCAAAATAAAAGGGAAACAAGGAAAAAGAAAGTATACAAGGAATTTGCATGAGAGTAGCGTATTTGTGAGTGCATTGATTTCCACATGGGGAAGCCCATTGCTGAGGTATCATTTTTGTCTTCCTTTACCTTGCTTGCTTTCCTCTTTCCAAACGCTGCGTCTCCGGCGGACGAAATTGGAACTTGGCTTTGAGCTTGGGGGTTTCTGTCAGGTTATAGAAGGGTAATTTAGTAATTCAAGTTCTTATCCTTTTTGTTGGGTTCAGGACGACCCCTGCATTTTTGGTTGGGCCTACCGTGGGATTTTCTTTGTAATAAGAACGCCTCGATTCCCTCGTTGGTTCGTGGCAACGACTATGATGTTTCAGGTTAAAGATTAGCAGGGCTCGACGTCACCTTCTATGGCTTCTGTCCTCGCCAAAAGCAGAAGTTTTCATTTTTATGAGCAACGTGGCCGTGTTTTATTTGGGTCTAAATTTTTTATTTCTAATTAATAATATCAGGATTAATTTAATAAATCAGTAAGTTTAGTTTTATTTATAATTTTTAATAAAAATAATGATCAATAAATATTTATTTATTAATTATAAATAATGTATGTATTTTATTTTTCATAATTTATATAATAAATTAAATTCATATATACTTTTTAAAAATTATCTTTACAACTATAATTAAAAATATTAAAATAAACAATTGTAAACCAAATATTAAAAGAAGAAATGTCCAAAAAAAAAACCAAATAGAAAATCATGTAAGCACCTTCATTTAAAGATGATAATAAATCGAGATAAAGATGAATTTATATTTGTTTTAGTTTTAAATTATTATATTTTATATTTGATTTTATACATATATAACTCGTATTTAATTTGATTTGATAAAAAATAAATTTAATAGCATAATGTTTATGAAAATATTATTTTTTTAATACAATTTGATTTTAATTATATAATAAATATATTAATATTTTATTAAATTAATATATCAAATAATAATTTTATTAATATAATACATATATATATAGGTATAACATCCTAAACATGTTTTCAATTCAATCTTGACTTTTTAAAAATAAAAAATCATCTCATATTAATCCGATTTTAATTTTAAAATAATCATTGTTATTAGATCAACGAATAGTATAAATTATTTTATTATTATTACCTTTATAGACCCAATTTCTTATAAAATTTATTTTATTAAAAAAATAAAAAAGAGAAACAAATAAAAAATTTAAAAAAAAAAAAGCAAATAGAGGTGTTATTGACACTTCAATTGTTTGTTTATCTTTTAAAACAAAAAAAAAAAAACTAAAATAGATAATTAAAAAAATAAAAGAAGCCAAAACCAAAATAAGACCTAAGCAAAAAAAAAAAAAAAGGTCAAGTAGGGGTATCATATAGATACTTGTATGTGAAGATAGCAGTAGATCAAGTTTGAGCAGGTTCTACGTTCTTTCCAATTTTGATGCGTATTTTTAATAATTTAATCTGACATTGAATTATTATTTTTTATGTCTAACCCAACACATAAATTTATAACTCATATTTAATTCGAATTAAAGATAGCAATAATGATCAATATAATATTTATAAAAAATTTTAATATAAATTACATTTTAATTATTATAAACATAATATTTTTATTAAATTATGATATTAAAAAATAATTTTATTAATATAATACTTATAATATAAAATTAAAATAAATAATAAAAATTTTATTTTATATATACTTTAAGTAGGCGAGAAACACCCTAAACCACATTTGACTGGACTTCTATTTTAAAAAAAACTCAATTTGATCTCGAATTTAAAAAAACACATATATATTGAATTATAATGAATTAAAATTTATTAGATACAAATTATTTTATTATTTTTATATTTATTAATTTTTTTTACAAAATTTATTTAATAAAAAAATCACAAAAAAAGAGAACAATGAATTGAAAACTATCTAATTTTTAAAAAATCATAAGAAAAAAGTTTTTTAATAAAAATCAAATGGACCATACATAAATTTTTTAAAAAAATGAAAAAATTTATTGAGCGACACTCATCACCTAAATGACTAAAATTAATATATAAGATGTATTAAAATAAATTTCAGTCAAGTTCCTCGACAGGCCATTGGAATAGAAAAAAATAGTAGTCTTTTTGTTACAACTATTTTTGCCTCCGTTTGGTAATTAGTTGAGTAATACTAGCAAACAAAAATAAAAATATTTCATTTAAATGTAAAAGTAAAAATATAAAGTGTATAACTGCATTTTTTTAACTTAAAATTGTTATTTTTTATTATTGAAATTAAAAATTCAATACTCTATTAATAAATTATGATGTTGTTGAAGTATAATTATACTTTTATTAATAATTTTTAATTTGTTTTTGAAATTAAAAGAAACATGTCCTAGTATAAAAGTAAATAAATATGCTTGAACATTGTAACATTAAAGTACATAATTTGAAAATAAAATGGGTATGTTTTTGTTTTTATATATAACATAATCATATTAAAATTATTTTTACATATAGAAAAGATTTAGATAAAATTTTATAGGTGAAGTTTGTGAATTTTCATATTAAAAATGATTAAATAAAATTAAAATAAAAATAAAAGCAAACAAATTGAAAGATCTTACTATTACATAAATCAAATGTATAAAATTTTAAAAAATAATAAATTTTGATATATTTTTAGATAGGTATTTTTAGTAAAAATTTTGAAATATGTACCGGTCAAATTTAAATTATAAATAATATTTTAATAATTTTTTACATATTATTAATTTTCATATTAAATTTTATTAATTTATCAAATTGGATCTTTTATTAAAAATTTTATTAAATTATTTTTTAAAAAATTCTCAAACATTATTTAAAAAACTTCATTTAAATTTTACCCATTACATGAAAGATATGTTTCAACTACGATCAATTAATATTGTGTTGCTTAGTGTTTACTTTTACCATATAACACCTTTTAGAATAAGATAAAAATAAAATGGAATATGAACATTGAATATGGCAACTACAATGACTAAGGATAACATTGGCAATAAGTTTTAGAGATACACTAAAGTTTCAAAGGGAAATGTATTTGATGCATGATATGCCAAGATCAAATGGAGATCAACATTATATTTCACATGAATAAAGAGAAAATAAGAGAATAAATGAGTTAAAATTGAACATACATAATTTTTTTTATTGGTAGAGATGTTCATTTGGTCAGTTCAATTTATTTTGAATTGAACTACTCAAAATCAAATTAATTTAATTATATTATTTTAATTTTAAAAATTAATCAATTGAAATTAATTCGGTTAATTCAGTTAATTTTTTGCTTAACTAAATAATAAAATACATTAAGTTAAATTATATTTTAAATTTTTATTTTTTATTTTTTCATATATGAAATAAATTAAATAAAATCATCCAATATAAATATTTAGATACCCAAATATTAAGTTAAAAACTCTTATAATTTGAAATGAAATAGATAGTTTCATACTTTTTTGTTTTTTGTATAGGTTTTATAATATTTTAGTTAAAATTTTGGTTAATTCGGTTCGAAAATCAAATTAATCAAAAATCAAAAAATTTTCAAAATCTTTTTCAATAACTGATCGAAGTTAATTCGATGGTCAATTGATTAACCGAATTAAATCGATTCAGTTGATTAATTCAATTAAAACGAATTATGAACACTTTTATTTATTGGTAATAAAAAAAAGGGTAATGTAGATAAAATTAGTAGATTTATACATTTAACCATATTTTTTAATTTTGGAGCAATTATGCTTTTAGTTATTTTTTATCTTTCTTTTCCTTTTCCTACCAAATGGAATATCTTTATTATTTTTTTAATTGAGATTGTTCATAATTAAATTTTGATTATTACAATTAAAAATCTAATACTTAATACAAATATTCTCCCTTATTTTTTAAATGTTTTAATGAAAAAGATGGGATTTGGGTAATGAAAATTGTTTTAATACACATTTTGATTATAATATTTTGTTTCGTTACTAATTTTTCCTAAGTAGTAATCAGAGTTCGGCTTTGCTCGGTTTCTTATATTAATTTATAGTATTTTATTGAATTAATATTTGATTGAATTAGAAATTAAAGTAATATATGCAATTAACATAAAGTAATAATTTAAAAGAAAGTTAAAAGCTTTCTTAAAGCAACTGTAAATCAGACTAATTCTTAACAAGTAATTCCTAACAACCTACCTATTGAAAGTAAAAGAAGTTTGTGTCTTCCAATTGCTTATAAGAACATGTGTTCAAAAGGTATATGGATTCATCCAATTATAATATCAATTAATAATCAAATAGCAAATCATTGACATGTATAACGTCTACAGCTGAAACTACATGTGCATGATGTAACTCAAAAGGCCATTGATCTTGAGCTTCATAATCATCATCATCATCATTCGAAAAATGTTGCCATTCATCAAAATGGGTTAACATGTCAACATCTTTGGTGAAATTTAAGATACCTTAAACAGAGTCCATAGTATAATTTAGTTTGAAAGAAACCACCTTAATACCTTTTAATTCAATCATATGAAAAACTTGGTTTTAGAATAATTAAACCTTCATATTTAAATTATATTAAAGTTATCTCTAAGTAAAATATAATATTGCAATTCAATCAATTAAAAAAAATAAGAATTCATAGTAATAATGGCTTATGTAACTATAGATTTAATGACAAGTTTATGAAATAGTACCTTATTGTTAGCATCTTCAAGATAACTAGCTATAAGCTTTGTGATTTCAACTGAAAATGGGTCATCAAAGAGAATGTCTCTTGTTGAATAATCATCTAGATCTTTCCTTCTAATGGAATCCAGAACAATTGTACAATTGCACAATCCTTAGCATTTTTACAAAATGAACCAAGCTTATCCTGTTAAAAAGAGAGTATAGAAAAGTTATTAAAATGTTACTTCTAGAGCAAAAAGTGATGGATGGATACTACTTTAACTCAAATGGGATGTCTTCTATCAGTGATATACTCATAACACCAGTGATATTTCCAAGAAATTTGTCAGGTTTTACACACGTGTCTTTTAAAGTTTCTTAAAGGTTTTGTTAAAAAAAGACAACCATAATTGGTGGCAGTTAACATATTTTCATATTATTTAATGTGCAAAACATCACTATGAGTTGGCGACTTTTAAGTCTCCATATAAATTACCTAAATGTTTTGGATGCTAAAAAAAGCAATAGAATTTATTTTCAAATAACCAAAGCCGATAGAATTCCATTTGGTTTTGGTTCTGAATAGAACATAAATTCTCTACAATTGTCTAGAATTCGTTTCATTCCTAGACTTTTAACCAAATGGGGGAAAAAGAAAAGAAAATCCAGTTATATTATTAATTGCCATGGAAAGACCCAATAGAACCTAAACAGCAAAACCTAAATACCAAAAGTAACATTCAAATTGAATGTAAATAAATTGAAATACATAACAATTAAAAGGCATTTTGTTCGCAAAATTGTAGATTCTAAGAGAAAGTGTGATTTTCGAAAAAATATGATACCCATGGTTTTTTTTTTTATTTTCAAATTCATTGTTTGGTTGACCAAAAACACTTTCAATAATCCTTTTATAAAAATAAAAAATTATAATCATTTTTCTAAAGAGATTATAGTTTTTGCCCAAAAACACATTGAATAATTATCTCATAAAAATTAAAATAGATTATTGAAGGCATTTTTGACTAGAAACGTCTTGAATAATTCTCATTAAATTTTTTTGTTTGAGAGATTATTTAAGGCATTTTTAGGCAAAAATGCATCGATTAATCCTAAAAAAAAGGGCTGGGGATTATTGAAGTCATTTTTGATAAAAAAAACCTTGAATAATCCCTTACAAAAAATTTAACAGAGGTTATTCAAGCTATTTCTGACGAAAATACCTTCAATAATCCTTTTACAAAAAATTATTGAGGATTATTCAAGGTGTTTTTGATCAGAAACGCTTAAAATAACACAATTTAATTTTTTATAAGGGATTATTGAAAATATTTTTCAATCCAAACACTATATATAAACAAAATTTGTTACCAATATAAATCTACAATTGACTTGCATTCATTTTTAAACATACTTTTCAAAATGGTAACGACTATTTTATAATTTTTATATCAAATCAAAATTAAAAAATAATGCTACTTTCTTCATCGAAATCTTATAATACTACAAGAAGAGGTAGGTTTTTGATTCCATGACTTTAGGTACTGTTGGAAATATGTTAGATTTCTCTAGAATCAGATTACCTTAAATCAAATGTTGGAATCAAATATCCAACGTTAAGATTCAAAAAAAAATGTTATGGATTTTCTTGAACCAAACACCCCCTTAGGATAACAGACCCCATATGAACTCTTTATTGCCAATGTGAAGATACGGGCATGCTGCAAACATTCACACAACATATGGCACCCAACAATCAGTTATGAAAAAAAATGCAAACATAGCTATACAAATAAGAATAGTATTTTTAAAAAATAAAATTAAACAAAAAGAATTTAAGCTTACAGAAGAAGGTGCTTCATGATTAAAGATGACCTTTTGATAGGTTATAAATCGCCAAAACGATACAGATAGCAATGCCTAAATATGTTATCTTCTCCCATTTCACCATTTCATTTGAAAAAATATATAAACTAATGTTAAAAAAAATGAATAGCTTTGATTTTTTTATGGTATATGGATTTTTATCTATTAGAATTTTCTTTTTTAGGTTCCAAATTTCAACCTTTTTTTATAATCAGAACATGCAAAGAGAAGTTATTAAAAGAAAAAATGCATTCATAAGAACATACAATCCTATAAATCATAAAACCCATTCAATATAAAAATATATAACATGAAAATCATGTTAAGAAAAAAGAAAAAAACCACATTCAATTAAACAACAAAAAAACAACGGTAGATTTTACCTAAAAACACAAAAGGAAACTCTGAAATAGCAATGAAAACCCAAAAACAAAAAAACAATAAAATTTAATCCAATATCAATACATGTAAAGAGAAATTATTCAAAAAAAAATTCAAGATAACATGCAACCTCGATAACTACAAAACCTAAACCCCATTCAATATAAAAGATGTATAACATCAAAATCATCTCAAGAAAACTAAAAAAAAAAAAAAAACCCATATTCAATTAAACAATAAAAAAACAACGATAAATTTTACTAAAAAACACCAGAAGGAAAAAAAATAAGAAAAGACAAAAAAAAAGAACAATTACAGACTACATTCTTTGTAACAGCTCTCAAACAGTAATGAAAACACATAAACATGAGCTTTGAAATTCAACTTTAAATAGACTTGTTGAAGTCAAAGACAACTGTCAAACATAAAATAGTAAATAAGATATTTGTAAAAAGTAGAAGAAACACCTGTAAGAAGTACAATAAACTTATGCTTTATGCTCCCAATAAAAAAAACTCCCTGGCCTTACTAAAACAACAAAACATCCAAATAAAAGAAACCCTTTATCCAAATAAAAGAAACCCCATACCCTAACTAAAACAAGACAACATTATGAAACAAAAAAAAAAAAGACTCGTCTTGCTAAGATCTCTTACGATACTCTTTTTATATAAGGATATATAGATTGGAAACAATTTTTTTTTTAATTTCTTAAATTAAATGTTTCATCATGTTTGAAAGATTATTTTCCAATTAACGTGAGGTATTTTATGGTTTGATCACTTTAAAAATCAAACCTATACATGGTGATTAAGTTAGTAAGTTTAGTGACAACTTCATAATCTTGCGTGAAATGATATTAGATTATTGAGTAATTAGATCACTGCATTGGAGAATAATATAATTTTCATCCAAAAGGGTAAAAAAATTTATCACTAAAGTTAAGTGGCATCTAAAATTAATTTTAGTTAATATTGCTCATTTAATTTGTGAATTAAAAATTGTTTCTCTCCAAAATGTAGTTATTTTATATCATATACTTTTATCTTTTCAAAATAATATTAATTGTATCAAATTTAAATATAATTTGCGTGGTTTCTATTAATTTTTTAATATTCTATATAATATATGTTTTTGGTACTTTTATCACCATTCTAAGAGATTTAGTTTTATTTTTTAATTTAAATGCTTTTTAAAAATTTATATTATAAAAATTAATTTACTTATAAAAATATATTTATTAATTTAACATTTTAGTTATACTTTATTTTAAAGTATTTTATAAAAATTTTTAAATAATATTAAAATTATTAATTATATAATATAATAATATATTATTTTCATTTGCATGACTCTAAAAATAACATTTGATAAGCTGACTTTGACTTCTATTTTACACTATGTTTTTGTTTTAGAATCCCATCGGTTATCTTAAAATTTTTAGGTCAACATTTATTGTTTTTACTATTCTTTTTTATTGCTGTTAAAATCTCTTATATTTTAGCATGCGTTATTGTCATATCAGCTTTATTTGACATTCATAAATCTATAATATTTATGAATTCAATTAATTATAAATACATATATTTTATATTTTATATCATTTAAAATTTGAATCTAATTTCACATATTCAATATTCATGAACTTAATCTATAATATCAATGAACGGTGAATTGTCCTTAGAGCTTGTGAGGGCCTTAGTCCCCTCAAAATTTTGAAAATTACCTTATAGTATATACAATATCTTATTAATTATTAATTATATATTTATATTAAATTACATTGTCTCACTTTAAAATTGTTATTTATTAATTTTATTTTATTATTTTTAATTTAATTTTATGTATTATAATTAAAAAATAAAATTATATTATTATTTATCTATTAATTATTATATAACAAATCATCATTCATAAACTTTAAAAGTAATAGACTTATCATAAATATTCAATCATATAAATGTAAATTAAAAAAAAAAAAATAAGCTTTTTAACTTTTTCAAACAAGATTTCAAGTTTTCATTCAAGTACCAAAAGTGTATTTTTTTAGTTGATTGAATTTATTTTATTATATCTTTGCAATTGTTTTAATTTTTTCTATTTAATAAAACCCAAATGAACTATGTTAATTTTTTTAATTTTTAATTTTTCTTGAAGTACCTATATTTGACATATAAAAATAAATGTGAGTATGAAAATCTGGCAATCTAAACATATAAAAAAATTTAAAAAATAAGTATATCAATGTTGATTCGTTGAACATGTATTCATTTTTTACACTCACAAAAATTCAAGAAACATAACAAATGAAAATATATATAATTTTAGTTAATATCTTCAAAATTGAATGTTAAAATCTGTCATTAATATTAATGAACCTAATTATCTATTGGTAAATGTACTTTACTATTCATGAATAGGGATACCCACGTGTAAACATAATATATATGATATTTCATCACGTATCCAGATGTAACTACGCAATTGGCGGTCAGCGTTGCATTTTCCACTAAGGGTTGACAGTTGTTTTCTGTCATTTCGCAGTTTATGAAATTACACGTGTGCGTGAAAATCTCATTGGTTCTTTTTTTTTTTTTTTCTTTATTATTAACAACAATAGAGAGAAAGTGAGAGCGGGAGAGATGGGGAATTGCTGCAATGGAGTCTCTTACATCTGTTGTCGCTGTTCGTTTCTTTTCTTTTCCTTTTCTACATTCAAGATTCTTCCAAGGTTTCTTTTCATTACAGTCTAATTATTAAATGTTAAGCATTTCTGTAAATATATAATTTTATTTTCGGCTTTTGTTTGACATTCATAATTCATCAGTGAGCTGACTTTTGTTGGCGACGACTGAGAAAATGAATAGATTAAATGTAATATTTCAGTTTTCTTTATTTCTTTAGATGTTATCTGGTTTCGGCGCTATGTAGAGTCTACTCGATTTCTGCGCCCAAGTATCTGAGATTTTGGGGAATTCCTAGTTTCAATTCTCAGTTTCTTTAGTTTGTTTGATTGTTTGCTTGTTTTTCTTTTGAACCATTTATTGACTTAGAAACTGGAAACTAAATTATTTTGATGAAATTTCATTCTTAATAACTCTGAACTGATCCTATGGTTTTGTTTTGCTTTATGGAATTATTTCAGCTGAAGTTTTACGGGTTTGTTTAAGGCAGTTTGTACTTGTAGATCATGGTTTTAATGTTGTCAATTGATCAATTGGATAAATAGGAAATTGTGATTTTACATTTGGCAGCCATCTCAAAGGAATTGCAGTCTTCTTCCTTACAGTCACTATTGGATTGCAAGCAAGCGCATTGTGACACCAGAAGGGATTCTTTCTGGTGCAGGTATGTAAAGCAACTGAATTCGAATAGAGTAAGAAGTATTGCAAGAGGAAACATGGAAATCTTTAATTATGTTGGTGGCATTATCATCATTATTACAATAATGCTACACCTCAATCTTGACCAAGATCTCTGCACTGTACTTATACTAATCATTTTGTTTCTTTTCGGAATGCATAAAATGGACAGTTGAGGTAAAGGGAGGGAATATCATATCCATAGTTAAGGACAACGATTGGAATGGAAAATCTAAACAAAACAAGTAGTTGATTACGGCAATGGCTTGATTGATGTGTAAGATATTAAATCTTGATTCCTTGTCATTCATGCTCCTTAATAACGCACTCACAATTTGTTCATTTCCCCAGAAGTAAATATCTACTTAAATTCTAAGCAGTGATTGAGATGGATAACTGCAAGAGCATGAAAGTTGATATGATCAAAAGAAAAATGTACATTTTTTTAAAAGGTGCTTACAATTAGGTGTACTTGCTTTAAAAGGTGCTTACAATTATGTCCAGGGTAGGCATGCACATCTAGATGATCCATGGAGAGCTGAATGGGAGGGATTTCCTTCAGGGACTAAAGCAACTGCCGCAAGTATCTTGCTTTGCATGTATAAAGTATAATGAACTTGTACTAACAGATGTTTCTGTCAGTGATAAATACAAAGTATAAATTATTAATTCATCTTCTCCATAAGCAAACATTACAGTTTTCGGTAGTGGGTTTTTTGCTACTTATTTTTACCTGTAGTCATTAATTAAAATGTTTATGGTTGGTTGTTCAGCCAAATCTGGTTTTCTTCCTCATTTTCCTTCATGTTAACAAATATGTTCATGTATTGTTAGTCCTTTTGAATCGTGTTAAATGGAATACCTTTTTTTTGGTCTGCCGCACGGTATGCACACCTTAACTATTTCTACTGCTGCATATCTATAGGTGGCATTACAACATTGATTGACATGCCTTTAAATAGCTCTCCTTCCAACAGAAACCTTGAAACTCAAGGTATGCCTAGTAATCATACATAAAAGTGACAAGATAATGGATATCAGGATATGCTACATATCATCTATTTGAACATTTCATTTTTTTTTTTATGGACACATTAAGGCTGCGGAGAAGAGTACTTATGTTGATGTTGGTATGTTCCATGAACTATACCTTAAGAAATCACTATTTCAAAGACTCTAAGTCTCACAAATATACCATTACCAGGCTTTTGGGGAGGTCTAGTTCCTGAAAATGCATTCAATGCAACGGCTCTAGAAGCTCTCTTAGATGCTGGTGTCCTTGGTTTGAGGATAAGCATCTAACGAGGCTGTTAATGATTCATCTTCACATCATTTACATAGAACATAGTATCTATTCTCTTTTGAAGGCTGGGTCTTTGTATTTTCTGAGATACTTATGCCATCAGTATTATTGTAAGAATAATCTTGATGTTATCTGTGAACTTAAGTAATCCCCAGTCAGTGATACTACTTCTGATCCTGGACATAATGTGCCTAACATATTGTCAATATGTGAGTTGAGAACTCATTAACTCCATTAGAACTTAACACCCTTCTTTTCTCCACCCCATTTTCCCCAAAGAAAGATGGGGGGGTGATATTCTGTAATACACGGAGTTAGTCTTTTGTTACATTGAAACTTTATTTTACAACTTTTTATGTTCTTGCTTTGCAGTCTTTTATGTGCCCTTCAGGGATCAATGACTTTCTTATGACAGATGCCAGTCATATTAAGGTTAGTATCTGATACTTGAATTGAACTCAACAGATGGTAAAGCTTGTCTTCCTTTTGAAACAGAGCACTTTTGCATTTCTGTTCACTTCTTTTCAATTTTCTTTAGTTTTGTAATAATGCACAAATAATGAAGTCTTTTGATGAAGTTCTTTTGTCACTTAAATCAGTTTTTGAAACATTGGTAATGTTTAGGCCATCTGCTGAAAATCATAGCAATTTGCTGCTTTAGGCAGGGCTATCTGTATTGGCCAAATACAGAAGACCTTTACTTGTATATTCAGAGATTCAACAAGATGTTGAAAGCCACTTGCAGGTTGAAGATGATGATGATGATCCTTGATCATATTCAACTTATCTTAAGACAAGGCCACCTTCTTGGTAAGTTGAATTTTCTTTTATTTTATTCTTTGGGAAGGGGCATGTTTAAATAATTTAATTGAGGTTCTCAGTTGTTCTATCCATGCTTTGCACAATTTTTAAGTCATTGGCTTGTATTTCTTTATATAGTTAGTTTACTCCTTTATTTCCCATCCAGGGAGGAGGCAGCTATTAGAGAACTTTTGACTGTCACAAAGGACACGAGGATCGGTGGTCCATCAAAAGGTGCTCATCTTCATGTTGTTAATTTGTCTGATGTTGGTTCTTCCTTAGTTCTTACAAAGGTATCTTATACGATTCAGTCTCTCTGATAGAATGCCCTTGCTTGATCATCGCACAAATTTTCATTCTCCTTTCTACCATTTTAGTTGCCAATAAATGACTACTTGTGGACATTTATGAAATTGCACTTCTAATATGAATGGATAAATTTGATGGTTTATCTGCTTTAAACTGTATTTTAATCCTGTGGTCAGGGCCTTCCTAGATTCTTTTCCCCACCCCCCTTTTTTTTATTTCCAGGAAGAGCAAGGAATACCTTTTTATGAAGGCATTTCTGTATTGTTGACAGGAAGCAAAATGGAGTGGTGACAGCATAACTGTTGAGACTGGCCCTCATTTATTTAGCGCTTTCATCGGAAGAGATTCCAGATAGAGATACTCATTTCAAGTGTGCTCCACCTATCTGTGATGCAGCCAATAAAGAAAAATTATGGAATGCTTTAATGGTATTACCATTAACTTTTAGGGTGTTAGCAGCTATCATAGTTCTAGTTTCTTCAAACATTTTGCTTCTCTATTTTCTATTCTGTTCCAGGAAGGACATATTGATATGCTAAGCTCTGATCATTCACTAACAGTCCCAGAACTTAAACTCCTGAATAATGGTAACTTTTTGAGGGCTTGGGGTGGCATATCATCTGTACAGGTTGGTGATTTTCCATTTTCAGAAAAATTATCTGAAGTAACTGTTTACTTTCTTCTGTATATATAAAATTTAACTACCATCTTTAGTAGCACTAATTTATGAATATTACAGTCTAAATTTCAAACAAGTTTGGCCTGTAAATTACCATAACCCTCAATATTATCTTTCTGGATTGAAGGTTGAAATTTGGTGAAACCACTTTGATCTGCTACATGTTGTTATGCAGTTTCACTTTTCGGAAAAGATATTTAGTACTTTTAGTTTGGTCAACATAGTTATCTACATGATGGATTGACAATAAACCAGAACTTGATACTGTAATAATGAACTAAAAGTGTAGGAAAAAGAATTTAGCAACCAAAATTAAGCGGTTGACAACATGAATAGACTTGCTTATATGGCCCTTCTTACCATCTTTCATACACCTATTTTGTCATTTACTCACATTCTCTCTTCAATCATTATATATTCTTACCGGGTGTGAACTGATCAATGACAATCTATTGAGACATCTGTGGTTTGTTCTTCCTGTGACATGCGAAAATTTGGAGTAACATTGGAGCATTTAGCTTTATGGTAGAGTGAAAGGCCTGCGAAGCTTGCCAGACAGCATTTGAAGGTCAATATCTTGAATCATCTTTTCATATTCACTTCCATTGATTCTTTTTTGATGTATTATGAAGGAAGAATGTGGAGATCGTGCGGACATTGTCATCTGGGAACCTGAAGTGGAATTTGACCTCAATGCTGATCATCCTATGTATGTGAAAAATCCAGCATGTATCTGGATGCCCTATATATCTGGAAAAGTGTTGGCGACTGTTGTAAGAGGGAACCTCGTGTACAAGGAAGGGAATCATGCTTCTGCTGACACTGGTGCTCTAATCCTCGCAGCATAGAAAAGGGAAAGATTACTGGATTTCGTAAACATCACAACAAGCAATCAATGAGAAGTGAGAACCATCAATCGTCCTTTGTCTTGCCACCATTCGTGCTTGTAGTATTCTAACAAATTAAAAAAACAAAAAAAAGTGGGACATTTTTTAAGATGTAATAAAAAAATTTTAAAAATAAAATATGTGATAATTTCTTAATTACATTTGTAAAATTAAAAAATTATTAATGTAGAAAAACTTATGCGTCCGTTTGGGTTTAAAAAACAGAAACGGATAAGGAAAAGCCCATTCAACTGAAATTTACTTTGAATAATCTTCATGCAACTCTCCGCTAACGTTCTTTCCCTTCGAATCCCACCATTTCTGTCCCATCAGCACCGCCAGCGTCACCGCCGCTACTCTCTCTCAACGAGACCCTTCAAACCTAAACTCATCAGCTCGCTGGCCAAGTCATCCAAACTTGCTGCCGCCCTCCAAAGCGAAACCCTTAAAACCTTAGAATGGCATTCCTTATGCAATTACCTTTCTTCCTTCACATCTACATCTATGGCCCTCTCCCTCACGAAAACCGCCGCAATTCCCGTAGGTCAATCCCACGAAGAGTCCCAGAAGCTTCTCGACCAAACCACCGCCGCTTTGCACGCCATGGAGGCCTTGAAATCACAACCGTTGGATCTCTCGGCCATCGAAGACGTCTCAGGAATCCTCCACTCTGCGGTTTCAGGGCAGATGCTAACCGTAAGGGAGCTTTGCAGAGTTCGAAGGATGCTTGGCGCCGCCAGGGCCGTCTCGGAGAAGTTGACAGCGGTCGCCCAAGGAGATTCTTTAGAGAGGTACATGAATTTCTTCTTTTTTCAATTTCGGCATTCATGATGTTTTCTGTTGCATTTTTGGCGTGAATTTAATGTTCATTAAAAAAAAATTTAGTAATAGTTTGCAATGGTTATATTTTAGAAGTGGTTAGAGTTTTGAGTTTTCAAATTGGTTTTAGTGTATGTGATTCACTTACATTGGGTTACTATAAAATTTACATATATAAACTGAGGAACAATATGTCTAAATGTTTTCGTAGTTGTTTTCGTGTCTGATAGTTGATTAGTTATAATTGTTCAAACTTCAAGTAAAATGAAATGATCTTATACCAGATGCTTATCACTGATAGAAAGAAAAGTTCAGTGTAACCATATATGATGAATGTTTTGATTCTTTGAATAGGTCAATAACTTGATTTTTTTCCTATAAGAATTCAACCTTTTGATCATAACAGAGGTCTATTAAGTATTTTATTTTTCTATTATAGGCACTTCTGACTTTGAAGACCTTACTTTACAATCATTTTGGTGTAAGCAATTCTATCTGAAGCATCTGTGAAAAGGTCTTCATTTTTGCTTAATACAATTTGGAGAGCCGAGAGTCATGTGTCATATGATAACATGGATTATCTTGTCTTTCTAAGGGTCTGAAAAGAAAATCATATTCAAGGTACTATAGACATTAGAGTGCACTGCTTATTTCCTGTTTATGACAAAATATATAACCTGCCTGCACGAAAGTTGAATTTATTTTTTTAGAATTTCATTGATATTATTGATTTTGTGCTAGGTACCCTCCATTACTTGAAATACTTAAGGGTTGCTATTTCCAGATGGAGTTAGAGCAAAAGATAGGATTTTGCATAGACTGCAATCTTTCAACGATTCTTGATAGAGCTAGTGAAGAATTGGAGCTTATTAGGGCTGAAAGGAAGAGGAACATGGAAAATCTGGAGTCTCTGTTGAAAGAAGTATCAGTTAATGTATTTCAGGCTGGAGGTATCGACAGACCTTGGATAACCAAGCGTCGATCAAGGATGTGTGTGGGTGTCAGGGCTTCCCATAAATATTTGCTTCCAGATGGTGTGGTTCTAAATGTTAGTAGTTCTGGTGCAACATACTTTATGGAGCCCAAAGAAGCAGTTGAGTTGAATAACATGGAAGTAAAGCTTTCAAATTCTGAAAAAGCTGAGGAAATGGCTATCCTGAGCCTGCTTACATCTGAAGTAGCAGAATCAGAAGCTGAGATAAAGTATTTGTTGGATAGACTTCTAGAAGTTGATCTTGCTTTTGCTAGAGCTGCATATGCTAAGTGGGTGAATGGTGCCTGTCCGATTTTAAGTTCAAAGGAATCTGAAGTGTTAGTTTCCTATGGAGCAGATAATGCCTTGTCAATAGATATTGAAGGAATACAGCATCCACTTCTGCTTGGGTCTTTTCTTAGAAATTTCACAGATTTCATTGCATCCAACTCTGCAGATCCATCTGTATTGGATGAGAAAAGTGGTGGTATGCCTGCTGTAAAGTCTTCAAATGGTAAATCCAGCTTTCCTGTTCCTATAGATATCAAAGTTCAATGTGGAACAAGGGTGGTTGTTATCTCAGGGCCCAATACCGGGGGTAAAACTGCTTCTATGAAAACTTTGGGGCTGGCATCTATTATGTCAAAGGCTGGCATGTATTTGCCTGCTAAGAAGCAGCCAAGACTTCCATGGTTTGATCTTGTTCTTGCAGATATTGGGGATAGCCAGGTAGTGCTTTACCTTTTCTATGAGTGATAATTTCTCATTTCTTTATCTGCTTTTGTTCTGACTCTTCTTTTATGACTGAAGTCTTTGGAACAAAGTCTTTCAACATTTAGTGGGCATATGTCTCGAATTTGTGGTATCTTGGAAGTAGCCTCAAAAGAATCACTTATCCTCATTGATGAAATTGGGAGTGGAACTGATCCTTCAGAAGGTGTGGCTTTATCTACCAGTATCTTGCAGTATGTCAAAAATTGTGTTAACTTAGCTGTTGTAACAACGCATTATGCGGATTTAAGTCTCCTTAAAGATAAGGACTCTCGGTATGAGAATGCAGCCATGGAATTTTCTCTGGAGACCTTACAACCTACCTACCGGATTCTCTGGGGTAGCACTGGTGATTCAAATGCATTGACTATTGCTAAATCAATTGGTTTTGATAGAAGTATAATTGAACGTGCAAAGATGTGGGTGGAATGTCTAAAGCCAGAAAAGCAGCAGGAGCGCAAAGGTGTGCTATATCAATCACTGATGGAGGAAAGGAGGAGGTTGGAAACTCAGTTCAAGAGGGCTGAATCTCTACATGCAGAAATTATGGAACTTTATTATGAGGTATGATTTTAGAAATTCCAACTTGTTGCAACATGATTCTAATTTTTTGTTGTCACTTGTTCTTTGTTATAAATAAGCACAGGAAAATAAGTGATGTTAGGGTGTTTATTAGTTATTAAAAGTCAACCTTTGTCCTATTGGTAAGCTATAGCACATTGGAGAGCTTAACTTCTGTCTTTTTTCCCTTTTTTTTTTCTTGAGACTAGAATTTTTTTGTCTTTACTTATTGAATAATTTTGTTTCTTTCTTCTCCTTGATTCTAATAATGAAGGTTAGGGGTGAGGCAGAGAATCTTGAAGAGCGTGAGATAGCTCTCAGGGCAAAGGAAATCCGAAAAGTTCAGCAAGAATTAAATGCTGCAAAATCTCAAATTGACACTGTGATACAGGAGTTTGAGAATCAGCTCAGAACTGCTGATTCTGATGATTTTAATTCGTTGATTAGGAAATTTGAATCTGCAATTAACTCCATTGTAAAAGCTCACCACCCTGGTGATTGTTTCTCTATTACCGAAAGAGATGCAAGTTCATATCTACCTCAGACTGGTGAGAAAGTCCAAGTGAAGAGACTAGGAAACAAAATTGCTACTGTTGTTGAACCATCTGAGGATGACAACACCGTATTAGTCCAATATGGTAAAATTAGGGTCCGTGTTGAAAGGAGCAATGTTAGACCTATTTCAAGTGGCAAAAGAAATGACACAATCAGCCCTAGGCGGAGTTTGAAAAGACAGGTGGATAATAAAGATTGCTTTCTTGGACATTTTGCTTTGTTGTTTGTTTGCGTTTTATTTTAGTTCTTTTATCTGGATGGATACCATGCTGAGATTTTGGTGAAGGACCTTTATAAGAAGAACTGAGTTGAGTAATGGGGAGTTTTGGGCCAAAGGCTTTCCCAGCTTGATGTTCTCTGCAATTTGATTAATTACTAGGGCAGACTTTGTTGGAATGCAGCGCCCAACACCCCCCCCCCCTCATGAATATTTGTTAAGCTTGTCCTCCCCCTTACCCTATGTTCCTCCTGAGAAAAGCCAATCTGCATCCCTATTCCTGTTCTTTATCTGAGGAAAAAGTTTATTCACTAGTCTAATTTTCCTTGTGTATCTTCTGCTCCTACTGGATATCATACTTACATGAAACTAGAAATATTGGTTTTCACCCATCTTTTCTGGTGAAACTCCTTGTATAAGTTGCATTAAAAAATGTACGGGTTCAACCATGTTTTTGTTACCCTTTTTTGAATGACTTCTGAAACTTTTACAGACAAATAACCCGCAGCTTCTATCATACTTGTGCACGTTACTGCACAAAAAGACTCAACTAGATCAAGTTGATGCAATCAAGTTGGCCAGTAGTCAGCAGAGATATTCAATCATACTTTTCAACCTAGCCTACTATTCTCAAATGATTGTTGGGATTGTTTAATGTATGACTGAAGTTTGTCATCTTCTGCTTGTCTTGGAATTGAATTTAATGGCTCTGATTCTGATCATCTTTGCTATAGGGAGAACGGAGCAGAGAGTTCCTGAGTAATTCAGATGCTACAAACAGTGATGCAATTGCATATAGCCCATTAATTCGGACATCAAAAAACACTGTAGATCTCCGTGGTATGCGAGTGGAAGAGGCTGCACACCACCTTGACATGGCCATCTCTGCAAGAGGATCAAATTCAGTTGTCTTTGTTGTGCATGGCATGGGCACTGGCGTCATTAAGGAGCGAGCACTGGAAATATTAAGAAATCATCCACGTGTGATTAAGTATGAACAGGAAAATCCAATGAATTATGGATGTACAGTTGCTTACATCAAGTGAAGGACAATCATTTTCCTTTTACTCGAGTTCATATTCAGTATAGATTTGTATACACGCATGCAGTTAAATTTAAGTGATTTTTTTGTTGGCAATTTTGATTCAATTGTATCCCTTCGGTTAAGTTGCAGCCCCGTAGTAAAGTCGTAGCAATAGCAATGCTAGCTTGCATTCATCATCAATCAATCTAGCTGTCCAGTTCGAATTTTTCTGAATAATCCATCATTTCTGTTTTTTTGGGATGCGTAATGTGACTTGTAAGCCCACCTGAAGAAGAAACCAAAAATTTTGGCACCATACCTGCATGCAAGCCATGTCTTATCTTCAGATTTCAGACTACACGTTAGACCCAACCAAAGGCTTTGAGCTGCCACATGCACAATCCCAAACGTAATCCTTTTCTGTAAGCTAGTGAACGTCAGTTATTCTTTCAGTTACAAAGAACAATTAGAGATAAGCATGCACTAAGCCTCGGCTCCATTTAGGGTGCCAAGGATATGCATCAACCTCAGCACTAGTATAAGCAATAAGCATTGGCCAGAACACTGGGATTTTGCTGCAAACATGTTGGCGGTTTTCGAGAAAGCAATAGGTAATCCACCACAGGAGCTTGGGCTTCCTTCAGTTGGCTTAGATTTTGAGGGTAAGAGAACTTGGGAAGAAATCTTGGAGGCTTTCCGGTTATTGTGGCCGGATTCAACCTTGTACCACCTTTCAAATGGGAACTTCGTGGCTTCGCCACATGAAGCTGAGAGTCCTTTGCATCCAAGGTATTCAAATTATTTCCACCTTCGTGATGTTTATGAGCTGAATTATGATCTTGTTTTCTTTCCTCGATTAATTTTGGCTGGGAATAAAGATCATGTATGGAATGTTTCACTTTTTATACTTACTTCGGCTCTTTTTATTATTGTGTCATCTGTACGATCCTTTTGCATCAGATCAATCAAGCACATAAATTGGAATCAGTTTCTATTATAATGCACCTAAATGTAGATTACAGAGTAAATGGACTTACCAGGTCCGGCGGTTAAGATATTAAAACAAGCTTTTAAATTAAAATTATTATTAGTATAGTTATTTTGTTAATAATGAACTAACAAGGGTAACCAAGAAATGGAAACTTGGATTGTAATAAGGTTCAGACTTCAGAGCTTTCACAAGTCATTACTATTGGTTAATATCTCTGATCTTATTCTAACTTCCAAGTGAATAACATTCTCAAAATTATAGATTTCTGCAAGAATATCTATTTCCATATAACAAATTTAGGATTTTCATTGTTTGATGATCTCGGAATATTGTACTGACAGGTCCACGGTTGTTATGGATGACATCTTCTGCATTTTTATTGGGATTCTTGGGAACATTTCCGAACTCAGACGACATTATGGCCTGTCTAGACGAGCTACAGAAGCCATGGTTGTGGTTGAAGCTTACAAGGTCCTGAGAGACCGAGCTCCATATCCACCAGATCAAGTCATTAAAGATCTAGAAGGAAAATTTGCTTTCATTGTTTTTGATGCTAAATCTGGTACCCTATTCGTGGCCAGGGTGAGCTAGATATGGCTTAAACTAATTTTCTCGAGTCATATAAAACTTTATCTAGTTTCTCAGCAAATGTCTTTGGTTGTTAACAATGTTAATTAGGACCGCGAAGGAAGCGTTGAACTTAAATGGGGAATGGCTGGAGATGGCTCCCTGGTTTTGTCAGATGATCCGAACACCATACAAGAGGCTTGTGGAAAATCCTGTGCACCTTTTCCTCCAGGTAATTATAGCTTGTCTTTCAAGGTCATTATGTATATTAAAAGTTGTTTTTTTTTCCTTTGCATTTTTACATGGTTGATTTTACAGGCTGCATTTTTATGAATGTGAATGGTCTTATAAGCTTTGATCATCCACTTCACAAGGTAAAAGCAATTGCTGGCGAAGATGATGATGGGAAAATTTGTGGAGTAATTTTTCAGGTGGACTTGTTCACAAGACTCCCTAGCATTCCGCGCACTGGTAGCGCTGCAAATTGGGCAGATATCACCGTCGTAGAGGGAGAATGAAAGGGATTTAATCATCCCTTGTGCTGATCAGAACAAACAAGGAAAAAAAAACATGACAAGTGTGTCTTTGTTTTCAATGTGGTGAAGCTGAGTAATTTAACCTAGTCTGGATTCTGGGGCACTGTTTATGTTCTTATTAATAATGATCAGTTGCTGAGCTTTGCTTCTTTTATGTTGGCAAATCGAGTTACTTCATTTATCATGGAAATAAAACAATTAATGGAAAATTTAACAAAATTTAACTATTAACAAAGTTAATTATTAAACTCAGAGTTTGATTTAATTAATTTATGTAATTACTTTAAAAATGATATTTAAATATGAGGTTTAAATGGAAACATTTACAACTTTTTTTTTATCTCATGTGTCATCTTTTTTGTAAAACTAAAATGTTAAACATCCAAATAATTCAGAGTGACAGAAGGATCATAATCACGAAAACCCTGTATAATTTTCACTTTGATTCCACTTTAACAATTTCCTACGTACCCTTTTACCCTCAAAACAATTCAAGCTTGCACATGAAACTTCATTTAATTTATTATTTGACTATGATGATAATTAAATTTCAATATTAGTCCCATAAAATCAACACAAAAAGTAACAACCAATATAAAATTAATACAGCGGTAGATCCGTTAATTTGATAAATTCTTAGTATATACTTTAATTTAATTTGATAAATTCGTTAATTTGATGCATTTGCAACCAAAGTTTAATTTAAAAGTTTTTATTCATATAAAAATAACAGCAGATTGGACTTTAAAATTATATATCAAGCTGCCTGCTTATAATTTATAAATATCTACTTTTTTTGTGCCGCAGGACAACATCTGGTTTCTATATCTACCCAGATCCTGTTGCCATGCCATGCCATCCATATTCATTGGATTGGTTTCTCCTAAACCATTGGCTTCAAGTTTCCTTAATCCTTTGTTTGAGTTCACCGATTGTAGCAGTACCAGACCCTCGGTTAAGGCAAGGACAGATAAGCTCGCATCCACCAATGATATCGACAGCATCTTTGTCGTCATCGTCTTCGTCGTCGTTGTCGTTGTCGTCGGGGGCACAGCCAGGGTTGCTATCAGAGTATTCGCTTCCACCAACGATATCAACATCACGACAGTCAGAGGACGAAGAAGTAGTGCCAACTTCATGCATGTAATCGCTGTTATTATTACCCTGGTTTAAGTCAACTTTTGCTTCCTTGTCCATGGATAGACCGACCCTGTTAGCATAGCACATCCCCAAGCGTAGTGAAAGTAACAAGGTTATGCAAACTCAATTTGCCGCTGCCATCTTTCAGAGAAAATTAACCCTATGTAGTTTTAGTTTTGCTCCATGGCTTTATACATTGAAGTTTTAAGTTTTGCATGGTTTGTTTCAGAAACAAGGGGGAAAAAGGGCATAAAATTTGTGATCAACAAATTTTCAAGTTAGATATATCAATTCATGTTGCTTGTGTGAACAGTATATTTCGTACAAATCATGCAAGTATCAGTTCGATTGATCAAAACGTATCAAATCAAAACAGTTATGTATATGTTTATTTGTAGATTTTTTTTATGTATATACAGCATTGTTCCAATTAAAAACTTGAACCATTGTTCACCAATGAGTAATCGATTAATTAAAGATATTGAACCAAAATCTCAGTTTAGATGGTCATTTTGGGGGGAGGGTCACGATTTCTCCATGGCCTTTCTCCCTTTTTTGATTAACCAAAGTGGCCATCCATCTTAATAAACAAACACTTTTCAATCAACTTCGCTAAACGTTGTAAATTTTTTAGTTTGATTGCTTTATATGTAGGCTCATCATCTGTCCTTTGACTAATTTAGTTGGGTCCCAAGTGCGTGACCTTTTGCAATTATAATTTACTCAATCACCTTGTCTATTTTTGCTTGTTAATTATCAAAAGGAGGATTCCAAATTCCACTCCCAATTGATTAAGCAAACTATTTTATTTTATTATTATTTTATTTTAATCAAAACTTCTTAACTTTTCATTAATATAACAATTATAATCACTTGCATTTGTGCTATAAACCATTTATATTTGTATATTGGGTAAAGGACATTTGTGCCTATCAAATTGACAGACAATGGAAGTGGAACCCAACAAGCAAGAACATTGTTGAACTACTTTTTTTCTTCATATCTTTTCTCAAAATCAAATAAACACTCGAGAAGTTTAAACTTTGAAGTTTGTGCTTTGTCCCCAAATGTACCATTAAGCTACTTTTGAATATCAAACAATTGACATCTCCTTCGCTAAAAAGTTAAAAGGATTTAATTAATAAATAATAATAATTATAAAAATTTAAAATTTAATTAAATTTATTCATACAATTATTTTAAATAATCTCATTCAATAAGTGTAAAATTTAAATTTTAGTATTTGTTTTTTTATCTCTAAATTAAGATTTTTTTTATATAAAGGATAATTATAAACACTTATTAAAATTAATAATTTTGATTTAATTAATTACACAAAAATTTCAATAAATATAATTTGATAAACTAAAAAGAAAAGTCATAGTACTTGCTTTTGAATTTAAGATTAGTGTTTTTGACTTTTGGAAAGTGATAAAAAAACAAAAATCAAGACAATATATTCATTTATCTAACTTGTTTGAGAATCTGTTTGTACTTTAGTAGCGAATTTCAAGGACTTGCTCAGGAAGGAGAAAAAAAAAAAAAAACCCAAAACCTTTATCATTGAAATGATAAAAAATTGAAAGACGAAAATACCCTTTGGGACCCACATGCCAGAAGATCGAAGTTTCTGGACAATTTCAGCAACTTGCAAAAGGAGTAGTTGAAAATTTAAATAAAATGAAAGGAAGCCTGAAAAAGAAATTTTGAAATTTAAAAACTAATAAAAATTAAAAAAAAAACTAATTACTAATACTTAATACTCACACATTCTCAGAGGAGAATCAAATCTGACTGTGCAGCCAAGCCATTGAGCGCCAAAATCCTTTTGGCCTTTTGCTTTATTTGTTTCTTTGTTTTTTTTTTTTGCTTTAAATCTTTATATATTTTATATTTCTCTATAAATAATCCTCCAAACTTCATCAGAATTTCAACTTGCTTCCTCCAAAACCCTCTCTCAAAACCTTTTGGTAAGTTCTTCAAAACTCTCTCTTTTGTCTCATCTTCTTTTCTTTTTTTCATCCTTTTGTTGAATAACGGTTTTGAATTGAACTTAAAATATATATTTTTTGGTTTTTCTGAAATGGGTTCTTTGTTTAAATCCGGTTCTGTGCTGCCAAACACGGTACTATTTGAAATCCTCATCAGTACTTGCTATGACATTTTCGATTCTAGTTATGGTTTTTTAGATTTGGTTGCTTAATTCTTAATCAAGAATAGTTTGATTTGATATTTGTTGTTTTTGAAAGTTTGGGCATTGAAATGTTACCATGAAAAATAAAGGACTTTGCTTTATATTCCGAAGGTGGAGTCTTTCTTGCATGCAGTTTTGGTGATTGTACTAACAAAAAGTACAGTGGCAGAATCAAAAGTTGTGGCGGCTTATGATATGATAATCTTGGTATTATATGGCTAATTAATGCAATTAACTTGGATTTTTCCGCTATTTAAATGGGTATTTTTTGCTCTATGCTTTCTTCTTTTCTATGTTTTGATTTTACTTTTCTGATGATTCTTCTTTGAACAGATTAATTTTTTTATTTTGCTAATAATCTTATGTTTGTTGAAGTCTATGTTCCTTTTTGGCTTTGCATTTCTGTAATGATGTGAGACATGTGATTCATCTTTTGAATAATGTTTTAATGTTGATCATGGATATATCATTATTTTTTCAATAGTAATTCTTTATTTGCTTGTTTAAATATTTAAATCGTCTTTGCTTTGCAGCCTAAATTGTAAATTGAATCATTTCTTACGTTTCCCCTCTTTTTTTTTTGAAGTAATATTAGAAATGGAGGTGTCTGGTTTAAATGGATTGCAATGTGATGAGGAGAAGGCATTGAACAGTTTGCTTGATGCATTTGGTTCTGCATTTTCTCTCAAAGATATTGCTTCTGCTTACTGTGAGGCGGGCCAGAATGCAGATTTGGCTGGTGAAATTCTGTATGAAATGCAGGGAAGCACCTCTTCAGTTGCTGCTGATGCATCTAATGATGAGGTGAAAAATGATGAAACGTTGGAATCATCCTGTGGTAATAATTCCCAGAATTATTGTCAAGCAAATGGAGATTTAAGAGCTCCAAAGCAAAAAGTGAGACCGGTTTCAGGAGGCACTGTTTCAAGCATGTTAGGAAAGGGGTATATGAAGTCTGTACCCTTGGCTAATGGTTCCTACCCAGGAACCAAACCTTTGAAGGTGGACTCACAGGAGGTTCCAATGTCTGGACTTTGGGGGGAAGGACTTAAATCCAGTTCTCTAAAGGAAGATCATTTGCACAAGGATATGGAAGATTTTCTTTTCAAAATGCTCGGAGAGGGATTTCGACTGGATAGGGATGTGATTAGACAAGTTCTTGGTAAACCAACTGTTAATCATCGCCATCTTAGCTGATCCCTAATTTTAAGTTAATTTTTTTTTGTTTTATTGTTATCTGAAGTTGGTTATTATAGCTTCACATGGCTGCCATTTTGCATTTTCAACATATTATTTACCAAAAGAAAGTTCTTTCAATTTCATAAAAATCAACTAAAATGAACTAGCCTCTTTAAATTCAATTTGGTTTGTACAGCTCTTGTTTGGTACTTGTAAGGTCATTTGATGTCTATATCACTGTTAATCGAATTTGAGTCAATATTACGTGTGCACATCAGCATACATGCATGATCATATCTGACCACTAATCAGGTTTTTTTATTTTTTATTGTGCAGATAGCTGTGGATACGACATGCAAAAGGTGTGGATACTATTCTCAATTTAGAGGATCCATCATTCATATTCAACAAATGTGCACTTCCTAAGCTTTGTTAGTGCAAAGTATCATGCACTATTAGGGAAATGAAGTTTCTATTGGGTTAATTTACTGTTCACTAGCCTTTTAATTGCTTTTTCACATCAAGGAATGAGATAGCTTTAAAGTTTTCTTATAGTTGTGAATGTCATTTTCTCTATCTAGTATGGTATGTATAAACTTGTTGGAACTGATGACTATTCCTTTCCTTCTCTCTTGACTTATAAGAGCATGGAGAAGCTTCTTGACCAGTCAGCTGTGAGTTTGGACAAAGAGAGCAAATTTCTTGGTGAGTCCAGTAAAAAGGTTAGTCTAATGATCAAGTGCGTAAACCCAGTGGCTACTTGCCAGTATAATTGTACATGTTGTTTGTGAAATTAAAATAAAAGTGATGATGCATGTCTTTTTCTTGCTTTTCTTTCGGCTTCAAAATGAATATCTTGTTAATTATAAGCAGCTGTTTGGTTTTGTGCATTAAAAAATCAAATTATTCATCATGCAAACTATCAATTATGATAGGTTAGGAAATGAGGTGAAGTTGATGGTTGGCAGTCTCATTTAAAAAGGAAAAAAATCTGAACAGTTTTCATGAATGAAATATTGAGTGCTTTACACGGACAAAGTTTTACCAAGCTTTATCTTCATGACTTTTTCATTGACAAACAAACACTACAAAATTGTGTAATTTTTTTAAAGGGAAAAGAATTGGTAATGAACTCATGGCAACAATGTTTCTTAATCATTCAACTTGTATTGTCAGATATCATGCAATGTCTGTAATTAAAGTTGTATGTATTACGCTTGCCATGTATGATGGAGATATTTTTATATTCTTATAATCTTCAGGATTGACTATCTTCTTCTGTTGCTCTGTTCATTTTTACAGACTAATGATATGCATCCAAGGGCAGAGGGACCTTCACAAGAAAAGTAAGTTTGTATGAATTCTTGTTGAGTTTATATTGTTTGTTTCTTTTTTTTTTGGTTCAATAGTTTACTTTTATCAACAGAGAGAAATAGGGAGAGAATTGTTTCATGAATAATTTCTTCTATTAATTACTAGTTAGGCTTTCTTTTGAAAGGGAAATGCAATGTCCACATTTTACAATTCCTGATGTATTATCTCTGCACTTTACTCGCTATCAGGAACAGAGTTTTGAGTGCAAATGGTGGAGGAAGACAGCAAAGGGACAGAAATGATATCCAAAAGGAAGTCTTGACTGCTTTGTTTAATGGTCCTGAGAGATTTGATGAATTTTCTAGAAGAAGGATGAGGTCAGCAAAAAGGCCTATTGCATTAGGAGAACTTGTGGAAGGACCTCCAATTGATTACACTGCTGAGCAGAAGGTTGATAGAGTTCACTCACAAGAAGATAAAAAAGATGGTATGTGCTCCTGTCCATTTCACTTGTAAGTTTATGTAACTAAGTGTAGTGTAATATGCTTTTAGGTAGGGGTGAGAAAAAAAATAGAGAAATCCGAAAATCGATTTGAAACTGTAGTATTCGGTTCGGTTCAGTTCGGATCGGATTTCGAATCGAAATGTGAAAAGTCAGAAAAAAACCGTACCGAATCGAATTATATATTTTTATTAGTTTTTATATATTTTTTAAATTTTTATAAAATAAAAAAATTATATCAAAATCTACTTAAATATATTACAATTTTATATTAAAATAATATATAAAATTAAAAAAATTAAAAATTAAAAATCGGTAAACCAAACCGTGGTGAAATTCGATTCGGTTTAGTTTGGATCGAATGAAGGTTTGGTTCGGATTTTAAATTTTCATAATGTTATACAATATCCAAAAAAACTTAACCGAATTTGATTCGAATCGAACCGTTGACTATTTTCATCTGTCTTTTACCTTTCCACAACATTCTTCACTGCATCTGTTAGTGGGCATTTATAATACATCTCTAATAATTATTCATAAGCTAAATGGTTTGCTCTAGCATAAATCCCCACCGGTGGGAAACAGTTGTGGCTGGCTGCAAATTTGCTGCTATTGTTTGCACATTTATGTCCACCATGTCATGGGTTCTTTTTTTATATGTAAATTTGAATTCATCTTGATTCTATGCTTACTTGCAGATGAAGGTGAAGAAGACAGTTTCCAGGTTCTTCGAAGAGCTGTGAAGGAATATAGGGGCATAATGAAGGAATATTATAAAGCTGTAAGTCTTGTGGTTATAAAATGGCAGTCCATTTTTGCATGTTGACACTATTCTCAAACGTCTGATGCAATTTATATCATATCAATCCCTTTTGTGTGCTAAGTAACTGCTATGTGTTCCTTGTCAGGCTGTTGATGCTTTTGCTAAGGGGGATCAAGATCTAGCAAACAGACTTCTAGAAGAGGTAAAACATTCAGCTACAAAATTAAGTATATGCATGTTCTGTATATACATTTTGCTTCTGAGATATAATTTAAATTGACCTATTCTTCCTGGTTCCTTATGGATAAAGAGGATATAGAGTTGTAAACCAACTGAATGAAAGAAAGTTTTCCTAATGACTCCACTTATGAATGTCTTTGGTGTGGCAGGGACAATTTTTTCGTGAAAAGGGTCGCAAAGCAGATGAAGAATCCAATCAAAAGATTTTTGAAACTAGGTTAGCTTCTTTATCTTTAAAGTGTTTGTGGACTTTTCTCATTCTCTCTCTCTCTCTCTCTCTCTTTCATCCTCATCCTGATTGTGTTTATCAGGAACTCGGAAGCAGAGGAAGAAATGTTGCTTGACTTGCACGATCATGGCGCGAAGGAGGCAATACATCTTTTGAAGTGTCATCTATCCTCACTAGCCGGCATTCCATGTAAGTAACCATTCTCCCGATTTGATATCAGTCCTGAGAACCATGCTGTTTTTACTCACTGGTTTTGTTTTCAATCAGCATTCAAGTACCTAAAGGTCATTGTTGAGACAAATGAAGAAGATTCCTCAAAAGGCAGTCGTAGACGATTGGTAAAGACTTTGTAACTGAGTTTACCTTGGCTTTAACGCTCGTTGTTTTGAATATGATGTAATTGTTATGCTGCAGGTTATAAAGCTATTGGAGAAGGAATCAATTGATTGGAGTGAAGGAGAAACTTCTGGAGTGGTATTGATTCGGTTGGATAATATCAACCCCAAAAGATTGAGTTTTGCCAAAAAATAGCGTGCATCATGGGAATCAATCAAGTTGGTTTCTCTTAAATCATTGAACTTCAAGCTAATTAATAGCCATTGTTTGAAAAACTCTGCTTAAAATGTGAAAGTTGTTGCTGTTTGAGTTATTCTTTTCTGGAAATTGTTTTTCTATTTTGTAATTGCAATTTTTGGCATTCTTGTAATGTAATGGAATTGAAAATAACTTATGGTCATTAAAAACTGTGTTACAATGGGTTTTTTTATTTTGTTTTAATAGTGTGAAAATGTAGTTTAAAAGCTTTTTTAAGATATTAAAATAGATATAGAATAAACTAAAATAATTAAAAGTAGAGCACATAATATTTATTCAAGATTGTGCATGTATCGGAAGAATAAATCATTTCTAAACAACAATAAGTTTTATATTTCATAATTTTGAACTCACATATAATCAATTGTATGAAAAAAAAAAATCATATTAAGATAATTTTTTTTTGTAAAAAAAAAAAGGAAAAAGAAAAACCCTGAATATATATTTTTTTGTAAACTATATTTTTGAAATCATTATCTTGGGGATTGGGCATCACATCATTGGATTTTTGGTTAAGCCCAAAATCCAAAATTATTGTGCTGACGTGTCATACTAACGGTGTCCGTGGGATCCTAAAGAACAAAGATTAATCAAATGGCCAAAGCAACGGTGATTGATCATTTAATGGTTTTGAAAAAAAACGGGCAGTCTATGATCCTCCGTTTAAAGGCGTTACAAAAGATTTGCGAAAAAGAAAAAAAGAGGGTTCTAGGTTTGCAACTTATTCGAGTGGTGTGAGATAAAAAGCATAAAAAAAAAAAAAACTTAAAAAAGTGGAATTTTTTTATCACTCTTTAGGCCTTTCCCTTTCTCTTCTGTATTTCTGTTTGAAGCGGAGAAGAAGAATCCAATATCAAATAATGGGAGGAAGTGGTTCAGTAAAAGATGTGAAGTCGAAGGGTGAGCTTGATGGCCTGCGGCAGAGTGGCGAGCCGGTTATCCTTCACTTCTGGGCTTCCTGGTGTGAGGCTTCCAAGCACATGGACCATGTCTTTTCCCATCTCTCCACCGATTTCCCCAATTCCCACTTCCTTAGGGTTCTTCTTCTCTTCCCCTCAAACATTCAAATTCTTTTTTTTAGAGATTAAATTTTAAATTTTTTTATTGGTTTTTAGTTTTTTTAATTAAAACTTTATTATTTGAATCATGGGTACGGATTATTTTGCAGGTAGAAGCTGAAGAACTATCTGAGATATCTGAGGAATACTCTGTTTCTGCTGTGCCTTATTTTGTCTTCTTAAAGGTAAACCTTTTGATGGGAATCTTTGTTTTTTATCCCTGTCCTGTAAATGGTAGGATTAAATTTGTTTCAAACAACTTTTAAGAGGTAATCGCTTTTAAAAGTTTTCTTTTTTTTTTGTTATAATTTTTGAATAAGTAGGCAATTCCTATTCTTTTGAATTTTGCTGAGTTTATACAGATAGAGATGAGTAGCCTTAGAGTTTGTGCTGTGGTGTGGATTTATAATGATTGAATATTACTGTTCTCTTTTTTTTGGCCGTTCCAAACGTAGGTAATAGAGGGTAAAAGGTGATTTCTTAAGGCTGCCCATGTATACTTGTTTGATCCCAGACTTGGTAGTTGCCGTTTTTTGGATGTGCACATGCTAGCACAGGAGCTGGTTTAATTTATTAAAATGCCCTGGACTAGTTTGCAGAAAAAAAGGGGGAAACTTTTTTGTGAAATATTGCAAATTGATAGGTGGGGCAATTTTTATTAGCTGCTTGTTCTTACACTGGAGATTTCTTGGTTACAAGTGTTGCATTTGGTGCTGACAAAGACTTTCCTTCTATAGGTAGCTAGATCATTTAGGGCTAGTGACCATGGAAAGAAAATTTATGATTATTTTTACTCTGTTGCTTGTCATAAATGGAAACAAGGAAGGTTGGATGTGAAATTGTAAGGGGGATGAGTGAATGGTGGAGAAGGCGTTCAAGGCATGTAGCATGCACTCTAAGCTCGTCTTGCCAGTACGGGAAGTTTTAGACTACTTGGCTTGTTAGCCATTTAAGTAAATTTGCCTTTGACCTCTCTCTACTACCTTCAATAAAGCAATAGTTTTTCCTGTTAGACTGTTTGAAGCTGGCCTATCCAACCTTCCCCTTCTCTCTTCTTGTAATATTGGGCTTTGATTATTTTCTTTAAGTTTTATTTTCATGCTGCTAGGTTCATTCTGATCAGTATTCCATTTTACTAGTTACATTTTCTCATAGTATGAGCTTGCTATCATTTGTCTTGTGTTTTAACTGATAGTTACCATGTTTAGTATCTTTCCCTGTTGTGAATGTCTCTGAAAATTTTGCAGACAGCCCATAAACTAGTTGTTATGCTACTTCTCTTTCTTGTACTTTTTGATGTTATTTCTGCAGTTTTAAAATAATTAATTCCTTCCTGTGATGTCTAAAGTTGTTACCATACTGAATCCATTTGTATTCCATTGTTTCCGTCAGGATGGTAAGGTTGTTGATAAATTGGAGGGTGCAGATCCATCCAGTCTGGCCAACAAAGTTGCTAAGGTTGCTGGGTCAATTAATACTGGAGAAGCTGCAGCTCCTGCTAGTCTTGGGATGGCTGCCGGACCCACTATCCTTGAGACAGTCCAAGAATTGGCAAGGGAAAATGGGTCATCCCAGATGGGAACTCAAGTGGAACTTGGCCTCAGTGACACACTTAAAAAGCGACTGCAGCAGCTGATTAACTCGCATCCGGTAATGCTATTTATGAAAGGAAGCCCTGAGGAACCCAAGTGTGGTTTTAGCAGAAAAGTTGTTGATGTTTTGAAGGATGAAAGGGTCAAATTTGGAACTTTCGATATTCTATCAGACAATGAAGTTCGTGAGGGTTTAAAGAAGTTCTCTAACTGGCCAACATTTCCTCAACTCTATTGCAAAGGAGAACTTCTTGGTGGGTGTGACATAGCAATTGCCATGCATGAGAGTGGTGAACTGAAGGAAGTTTTCAGAGATCATGGAGTTGATATTATGGGGACTGAACAGGGAGTTGGTGGCATCTCAGAACCCACTGGATTGAGTACAAACCTAGATTCTCGGCTGCGAAGCTTGATTCATTCAAGCCCGGTTATGCTGTTTATGAAGGGAAAGCCTGAAGAGCCCAAGTGTGGTTTCAGCCACAAGGTAGTTGAAATCCTTAAACAAGTGAAGGTTGATTTTGAGAGTTTTGATATACTATCAGATGATGAAGTTCGTCAAGGCCTGAAAGTTTTTTCAAATTGGTCTAGTTACCCCCAATTGTATATTAAAGGCGAACTTATTGGTGGATCAGACATTTTGTTAGAGATGCAGAAAAGTGGGGAACTTGAAAGGGTTTTAGTTGAGAAAGGCATCATTAAGAGAGAGACTCTAGAGGACCGTCTGAGAAGTTTGATTTCATCTTCACCTGTGATGCTCTTCATGAAGGGTAACCCCGATGCTCCGAGATGTGGTTTCAGCTCTAAAGTTGTCAACGCCCTAAGAGAGGAAGGTGTGAGTTTTGGGTCGTTTGACATTTTAACTGATGATGAAGTGAGACAGGGATTGAAAATCTTCTCAAACTGGCCGACCTTTCCTCAACTCTATTACAAAGGTGAGCTTATTGGAGGTTGTGATATTGTGCTGGAGCTGCGCAACAATGGTGAGCTGAAAGCTACACTGTCTGAGTAGGGTTCAATTTGTTTTGGGACAAAACCTTGGCTTTAATTTCAGATTTTTCAGTCATCCAAGTTGAACGTGTGTCAATTGACAATACTTCAAAACGTTTTCTTCTGGCTTTAGTTTTTCACCAAACTCCCACTAATGTTTTTGAGTTATGATTACGTGGTACTTTGTATCTTTGAGCCTTGGTAACTTGATAAATTCAAGAATCTGTTATTGGTACCGAAGCCCTAAAGGTTAAACCTATCCTATGCCTTGTGTTTTGGCATATTTTCATAGATAAAAATGAGAAAATTTCCGTCAACTTTATAGATTATTTTTAGTTTTTATGATTCTTTTCTCAGAAAAAATGCCTATAAAAGCAAAAGAATATATCACGTACAAATGATTATTTTTATACGGTTAATAACTCACAATTTAAAATTGTATAAATCTTTAATGGAATTCCCATTATATTGTTATAATTGGATAATTTTAACAATTATAATAAGCAACTATATTTGAAATGGTCGTCAAGTATTAAACCAGACGCATTTCGTTGAATATAGATGTGATGCTTTACGTTGATGGCAATTGTCAAGTTCAATAATCTTGAAACAAAAGAAAAAATCACATCAATCGTTGAGGCACATGAACTAACAAAAAGAAAGTGCATTATGAGTCTGAATGACAACTATAGCCAGCAGATGGAAGAACATGTATAGATGAATGAATGATGAGGATGAGTGAAGCGCTTTCGTTTGCGACGATCGTGAATGATGCGTTGAAGCTCAGCGACTCGAATTCTGTTCCCATTTTTGAGCCAGTCTTCAAGCTCTGCCTCGACGCTTTTGTCAGGGCTTCCCAAAGGGCTAATTCTGGAATACAAAGTGTGGCTTTGTTGAGCCTATTTGTACAATAAAATCTGCTAATAAACCCACTTTGGGTTAGGTTTTTCTAAAGCAGCTTTGTCGAGTTCTTCATGGTTTTAGATTGTTCAAGGTTGTCATGCCGGGTATTTTTGAGCCAGTCTTCAAGCTCAGCCTCGACGCTTTTGTCAGGGCTTCCCAAAGGGCTAATTCTGGAATACAAAGTGTGGCTTTGTTGAGCCTATTTGTACAATAAAATCTGCTAATAAACCCACTTTGGGTTAGGTTTTTCTAAAGCAGCTTTGTGGAGTTCTTCATGATTTTAGATTGTTCAAGGTTGTCATGCCGGAGATTTCGGCAGAGAAATAAAACGAAACCGGAGTGGCGGAGTGAGAGGCCTTTGCAAGATCCTTCCGAGTTTTAGGAGAAATTGAGGTTTAGCAAGTTTGGGTTCGTTGGGCCTTCTTTGAATAATGGGTTTAGATAAGATGATCGATTTGTAGGCGAAATGAGACTTGACTGCCATAACCTAAACTTACTGATTTGTATGTTCCTTGGTACATTTTTGTAATTATTGAATGGCATACACATAGGAGCTTAGTTAGCATATTTATGTCCCTTTGTTTCCATTACTTTGAGAGATTCTTTTATTTTATTTTACTTTTTAAAGTAAATTGGTACGCCTTATATGAAGAATTGAATTGGATTTGAGAAAATGCTGCTTGGTATTTGACAATTGACATGTGTTAATACAAAATGCAGTGGGGAAAGCAAAGGGTATTTCATAAGTTCCATGACCATGACCGTGGACTACAATGAAACCATTTTTTTTTTCACTTTCTCAAGCACCCAGCAATAACCTTTGGCTACAAGGAAAAAGGGCAAAAGGAATTACAGAAGAAAGAGAAACCAAATCCACCTAACTAGCTAGCTAGCACAACCTCCTTTCTTTATGACTAGTATTTCCCATGTATTGAGCAACGCAATCCAACAGCTTAATTTCTAGAGCTTTGAATTGGGCTATTTGGGTCTGCAATTCCACCTTCTCCCTCCTCAGATTCTCGTTCTCCTCCATCAATGTTTGACAATTATTTTCCACAACAATATTGTCATTAATCTGATCTTCATCAGAAGAAGCCTTCAAGAAAGCAGGAAACACACTTGGCTCGGTTTTCTTCCGTGTTATCTCCACTAGCATATGCTTATAACCTCTCTGAAACTTCTCATGCTTGAATTCCCATCTTTTCGATGATGTTTTCTTAAACCCCTGCTTCAAAATTATAGCGTTATAGACATGAAACATGCAAATATGTACAATAGTGTCCTTAACTACAGATTTTCTTTGTTAGTAACAAATTTAATCCCAATATATATGAATCAATCCCATTTTACTATATAGCTCTTTTATCTAATTTTGAAATCAAACCATTTAAATTGGGAGTCAAAACCCAATAATATTTTATCTAGGCAAAACCTATGGAAGCCATGCTTTGGTCTCATCATTGAGCTTTCAGAAATCAGAGAATAAGAAGTAATGAAGGCAATATTTTCAATATGTTTTACTTAAAGCCCTGCCACTTTTGACTATTTTCATGAACCAATAAACATAAGAGTAATCCAATTCTATTCAGATTACCATAATTTTAAAATGTCTCTGTGTGATCGTTCTGACATCTATTAAAACCACCAAATTTTGACCCCAAAATTTGCTAGTATTAATATTATTTTGACTAAGGGTGGTAGAAGGAATCAACAAACACCATTGTCCTTGTCATTTAAGTTCAAAAAAAATTAACGGATTAATGACTACTCTAACGGATGTGACTTCATCAAAGAATATATTTTAGGCTCCAGCTAATTTAGAAAGGAATTTTAGTTGGGCTGAGGCCATTTTAAGTATCTGTTGTCTAATTGGTCAGGATACTCGGCTTTCACCCGAGAGACCTGGGCACAAGGTGCCGAGAGACCCGGGTTCAAGTCCGGGCAACGGAATTCAAAGATTTTCCCGTTCGTTTTCTACTAATAAAGGGTACCAGAAAAGGAGCAAGACTTCTTTAATTTTAACATTCTTGAAAGATGAAGCAAAACTTGGCTTTGCTTCATCAGATAAAATCTATGAAAAACCATGGGGAGGGCTGGAAACAATTATAACAAGGTGTTTCTCCATTATTATTATTATTATTATTTTCATCAGGGGATGCAAACATATCAATTTATGCATGTTTAAAGGCTATTTCAATGAAAACGTTAAACACATTCAAAATATTGTTCATGGAAAACAATTTGGCCTGCAAAAAAAAAAAAATGTTGTAGCAAACAGCGAGATAGCAACTCACATATGTATTTAGTTGGCGAATGAAGCTAGAAAAATTGTTATGCTTGAAGTATCTAGGCAAGGTTAGCTCTGAGAACTCGGCAGGCGACCATACCACGAACCCTGTTCCTTCAGCATTCCATGAAACAATTTTCTTGCTATCATTTCCAGTTTCTGCACCTCCTTCTTCTTCTTCTTCTTCTTCTTCTTCACCTTCGTCTAACAAAGCATAAGTCTTCGACAAAAATGGAGCAGGCCCTTTTGTCCTCGGAGACAAGCTTGAAGTAGTGGTATTCTTGCTCATGCCTTGATTAGGATCTCCCAAAGAAAAGTTTCTTTTCCCTTTTGTGTTTTAATCAGGGTATTACCCACAAATACTTTCCTTATTTCTACAGGTTCCTTGTATATTTATGCAACCCTCTTGGAAACTACTAGTGCCGTGGGAGGTGGTCTCTGTTTCTTTTTCTCTTTCTTATACTTTCTTTAGTGATCTTTTTTGGATTTTTCTTCCTTTCTTTTTTGGGTTTTAGAATTAGATATTGCAACTTTCTCACGGATCACGGTTCAAATAAACAAAATTTTTCTATAACAAACAGTTTATTTTAACTTAATAGGCAAAAGCGAAAAGGAAAGGCAATGTTGAACTAGACAAAAGATTGAAGTTTCAGGCATTTGGTATTGGGAAGTTAGCAAGTTGCACCTCTTTTTCCTTCTAAATGAAACTAAGCAAAGTTATGGACAATTAGTCAAAACTTGACTATTCTTCATTTTTTTTTTCCCAAAGACCCTGCGAAATTTCAAGACAAAGTGCAAACTTTTTCATGCAATTGAATATAGTATATACTACTATATCTATCTTGAAAATTACTGATATTATTGATTTGTGTTTTATGTATCAATCGTGATGGTTTTTCATCGATCATTTAATTAAATGAAACCTTAAAGTCAGCCTTGCCTTATAATTAGGGGCTAATTAAGTTTCTTTTTCCTTTATGTTCTCTTGTTCATGTTCATTTTATCAAAAAAGATAAACTAGTGAAGTCAAAACTTACGCATATTATAAGTTGTAGTAGATTTTAATTGGTGGGGATTAAAAACAAACCCAGAAGTCTAAATTTACAGAAAATTATTGCTGACGTACAAAATATTCACTTAAATACCATGCAGAATCAGGGTTTGGGTGCATCGAATCCAGCTGCACTGCATTGAAGCTTTCACATCAGTCTCCCCGACAAATTGAAAATCAAACAACGGCCGTGAAGTCTGACGAAGGGTCGGGCAAAACTTTCTTTATTATACATAGAGACGCAAGGTTGAAAATAGGGCAGTGGCATGTGATTAAAATGTCATCATTAATTGTTTATGCCAATCACTTTAAGGGCTTATGAATTTGAAGTTAAAATTTAACTGATTCATTTTTTTTAAGAGATTGATTCTTCTAATGTTAGGGACCTTGGATGCCTAACACAATTTTTTTTTCTTTAATTTCCGCCTGCTTTGTAATAAAAAAAAAAGAAACTTATTAAAGAGCATTGTGATCATTTGAGAGTGATTAGTGTGAGTTTTGGGTTAGTGGAAGAAAAGAAATGATAATAGAATGTCCCAGAGTTGGTGGCAAACTAGACTTCACTGCTAAATACAGGTTAGGTGTTTACCTATAGCGTAGAGACAAAGTGCATGCCCGCAATAAACAACTTCTCTTCTATATCTAATTTTCTTTTTCTTTTATTACTCTTTAATTTTTTTTGTTTCCTTTTGTCTTCTAATTATGGATTAGAGCCGTAAAGGGTCATCCTCCTCAAGATTTTCTAATTCTATCACTCCCTCAATGGCTAGGATACAGCTATAATGCCCAAAAATTGAACGTTACTATGAAATAAAGATGGTATTTTAGAAAAATATGATTTTCTTTTTAAATACTAAATTTGGATCTCATGGAAATTATCATAACATATACCATTTGTGTAGATATAGCTTTTAATAATTTGAATTAGTTACAAGAAAATCTGTCTTGTTGACTAAAAGCATGCTTTACTTGCTGCCTAATCAATAATCATTGTTGTAAGTGGGTGTCTTAGGTGAAGTGTACTGAAATAATTTAAGAATAAAATTTCATCGAAATTAATACCAAACTGTTGCTGTGGTGTAGTGGTTATCACGTCAGTCTTACACACTGAAGGTCCCCAGTTCGATCCTGGGCAGCAACACTATAAATTTGATTTTAAAGTTCAAACTTTAAACCTGATTTTGCTAAGCCCTTCTACTTCAGTCTTCGCCAGAATGAAGCTTTTAACATTGTATAAATTATTCGGAATTAGATGCCCTTACCACTTGAAATGGAAGAGAAGGCGATTCCTTAATTAAAACAAATATACTTTTAGCCTTTAGCAGCACCCACCTATCTGCATATGCAGCTGTTTACGATGTAAAGGGAATAATAAGATCGTGGAAAAGATGGAAACCGGTCTCTAAACAGTTCTTGATTGGCTGACTTTTGCTGTTGCAGCATAAGGGTACTTAAATGTCAAGGCAAAGCAATGCTGAAAAAATACGAAAGACCGCTAACTTTTAATATCCTCCTCAAATTTTATGCAGAAATTGGTGAAAAGGATGAGATCTAAGGTATCTGGAATCTTTGCAAGGAAATGGGAACAATCTATAACGAGGGGTACGTATAGAGCTATAGATGATAAGTGCACTTTTGAAGCATGATGAAGTCGAAGGTGCTGGCTGAGACTAATTAAGATTTTTGAGGAGTGGGAATCCAGAAAGCCGTGCTATGATTTCTGTATTCCTAAATTACTAATCGAGGCATAATTTTGCAAGAATGGTCTTCTAAGAAAGCATGAATCACTCATGGCCATGCACAAGCTAAACGGGCTACAATTTTCGTTCTTGGATGGTGCTCTTTGGCAAATGGGTTTCTTGAAGATAATCAAATTCCAAAGGCAATGGATTCATGGAAGCAATGAAGTGGTGTCTCATCCTGGAAGAAAGCCTAGCTAAGAAACTTCGCCACCTTTTTGGAATATTTGGAAGGGAAATGAGATATTGAACAAGCTGATGAGCTAATAAATAAACTCAAGGTTGAAGGGTTTTTCTCTAAAGTTGGTTATAGCATATTGGTAGAAGTTATAATTTTTGCATTTTCTTAAAAGAAAGGCTTTTTCGTGGGGAATGAAGAACATTTAGAATGAAAAAAGAGTGGATATTTACTTTCCATCAATTATGAAGATATCAGTTGAATTATAGTTGGACATAAAAGAATGAAGAACAACTCTATTTGTTGAGGCATTTATCAAATCATGTGCCTCTATTATAGCTTTGAAATCAATCATTCGGATTCCAATTCCCAAAACCAGCCAACTGCTAAGCTTTAGTAATAGTCAAGAATCAAGGGGTTCATCTCATCCATAAATCATGCTTCTACAATCATCAAAGATTCAATCTCATCCATGAATCATTCTCTCAATTTCATCCTTGAATCATGCTTGCATATATTTATTTTATGAGTTAATTTTATTTTCTTTGTAAGAAGGTTTTTCTCTTGTATAAATGTATATACCTCTATCAATAGAAGTGAGCCTTTTCATACAATTTCATTGTTGCTTTACTGTATCAGAGTTATCATTGGCTCTCACAAGTTTCTTCATCTTTTATCCTTAGCCTATTTTTTCTCATCCAAACTACTTGTTCCTTTTATTACAAATCAATCATAGTAGAAGAAAGCATAGCTACTTCCTCCCTCAATCAAACCATCACCAATACACCTTGCAATCAATCTAAACTAATTGCTATAAATGTTGCTACACAACTTCCCATAAGTCCTTCAAACTACTACTCTTGGAAAACCCAATTGGATACTCTCTTTTTTTGGGTATGATCTATTTGGTTTTATTGATGGAACCAAACTTTGTCCTCTTACAAAAATTACAGTTGATGACAAGAAAGTCTCAAACCCAGAATTTACATTCTAGATGAGACAAGATAAGCTTTTGCTTCTTGGTATTATAGGGTCATTAACCACAAATGTTATTCTAGTGGTAAGATCTTGTCAAACTTCTGCTGATGCTTGGAATTGTCTTGCAAAACTTTATGCTAATCCCTCTTCATCTAGAACTATGGGATTACAGAGCAATTTACCTTTATCAATTGAGGCACACAACATGTTGCTGATTATCTTGTTACGATCTGTGATATTGTTGATGAGTTGGCTCTTATTGGAGAACTAGTTCCAAATCGATATCTTAGTACTCACACCCTTAATGGCTTAAGGTTAGAGTTCAAAGAACTTTTTATTACTATTCAAGCTCAAGACATGGTGATCAATGTTGATGAGCTTCATGATAAACTAGTTGAATATGAAGCTTTTCTTAATTGTAAGGAACTTCATACTTTCGAAAATCTTGATAATCTTACTACAAATTTTGTTCAATTCTCTAAAAATAAAAACCAACACAATAGTGATAAGAAAAAAATTTTAAAACAGCAAGGGATTTCAAGGGTAATGTTCATTAAATTTCAACAACAATCAAGATAACAACTACAACTCTACCAAATTCAAAAATAACAACATGAACAAAAATTCTACAATGATTTGTCAATTTTGTGAGAAAAAAGGTCATACTACCAAATAATGCTACACTAAAAGAAATTTATTCTTTTCTTCAAAGGATTCGCCCATTACAAATCCAATCACAACAACCAATAATTCTTCCTTAACTTGGCTTTTAAATTTTGGCACCTCCAATCATGTTACTTCATATTTCAATAACTTATCTCTTCGTTAACCTTATGAAGGACCTGATGATATTGTTATAGGTGATGGTACAGGATTGTGCATTACACGTACTGGCAACTTTACTCTTTCAACTCTCTCCCATTCTTTTTCTTTCTCAAATGTACTCTGTGTTCCTTTTATTAAATAAAATTTAGTTTCTGTTTCCTCATTTTACAATCCTATATTGAATATTTACATCATTTTTTTGTGTGGGGATCTCTTTATGGGGGCACCTCTCGCTCAGAGTGGAGCAAGAATAATGTCTATTAGTGGTCCACTATGAGAGTTCATACAATTTCGAAACATGCTTTTGTAGGATTCAAAGTTTCTCTCACTAATTGACATGATTTTGTGCTCTCTTGCTCAAACTCTCTTTTTTTATCTACATTTTCAAGCCTAATATACTTTTCACCCTTACTGCCACTAACATCCCATATCTCCAACCCTTGAACCCACAACCACTAAATAAACACTTAAAAAGAAAAAAGTGAAGAGAAGTCATGTGTAATGAACTTCGTGCTCTCACTCAAAATAAAACATGGGAACTAGTCCTTCGTGAGCATCATCAGAATGTTGTTAGTTGTAAATGGGTTTTTTGGATTAAATGAAATATTGATAGTAGTATTACAAGAAATAAATCTCATTTAGTTACCAAAGGCTTTCATCAACACCTTCGACTAGATTATACTAAAACATTTAGTCTTGTTATAAAGCCAACAACTATCCAAATGGTTCTTTTCATTGCCATCTTTCATGGTTGAGTTGTCAACCAATTTGATGTTAACAATGCATTTCTTCATTGGCATCTTGATAAATAAGTCTTTATGATGCAGCCTCTTTGCTTTATAGATCCATCTTGACCAAATCATCTATATTGTCTACAAAAATCCCTTTATGGCTTGAACAAGCACCTCAAGCTTGGTTTATTGCTATCAAGAATTTTATTCTTTCTCTTAGCTTTGTGCTCTCTTGCTCAAACTCTCTTTTTTTATCTACACTGACAAATCCATCTTTATTTATTTTCTAGTCTATGTGAATGATTTGTTAATTATATAAAATTCCTTAAAGTTCATTCACCAAGTTTTGTTGCTTTTTCCAACTAGTTTTCCATTAAGGATCTTGGTCATATTAATTATTTTCTTAACGTTAAAGTTATTCCAACACCTAATGAACTTTTCCTATCTCAATATAAATACATTCGGGATCTTATTGAACGTTTTCACATGGAAGGAATCAAGGAATTTGTAACACCTCTTAGTTTTTCATCGTGACTTTTTATTAATGATGGTTCATTAAAAATTGATGCCACTCAATATAGAAGTCCCATTGGTAGCATGCAATATTTTTGTCTTTCACGCTCTGATGTTGCCTATGTTGTTAACAAATTGGTTCAATTTATGCATTCTCTAACTCAACTTCATTAGACAACAACCAAATGCCTTATTCGCTACTTGAAGCACATGATCAATTATGGTTTTTCTCTATGGTGTTCACCTTCCTTGCCTCTTATAGCATACTCTAATTCTGATTAGGCTAGTAATCGAGATGATTATACTTTCATATCGGCATATATTATCTTTCTTGGTGACAATCTAATCTCTTGGTGTTCCAAGAAACAACATACTGTAGCTCGTTCCTCTACAAAAACGAAATATCGATCTGTAGCTTCAGCCGCTATTGAAATTATGTGGCTCACCAATCTTCTTAATGAATTAAATATACCTTTTTTGAAGCCACATCGACTTCTTTGTGATAATATTGGTGTTACCTATTTTTGTGCAGATCCTGTTTTTCACTCTCGTATGAAGCATCTTGCACTTGATTATAATTTTGTCTAGGAAAAGGTTACTTCTAGTTTGCTTCATGTTGCTCATGTTTCTACCCATAATCAACTTGTTAATTTACTTACAAAGCCTTTACCCAAGTCCAAATTTTTCTTTCTTTGATCTAAAATTTGTGTTTTTGATAGAAACACAATCTTGTAGGGGCATAATAGACAAGAATCAAGAAGTTCATCTTATTCATAAATCATATTTCTACAATCATCATAGATTTAATCTCGTCTATGAATCATGCTATCAATCTCATCCTTGAATCTAGTTCGTATATATTTATTTTATGAGTTAATTTTATTTCCTTTATTAAAAGGTTTTGCTTTTGTATAAATGTATATGCCTCTATCAATACAAGTAAACCTTTTCATATAATTTCATTGTTACTTTATTTAAACTTATTGTCATTTATCCTAGGCTAGGAGTACTTTATTTGAATATTAAACTTGAGCATTCCATCATGTAATAGCCAGACATTTCATTAATTTTGTTTTACTTTATTCCCAAGCTGATTAGGCTAGAATCCCTTATTTCTCTCCCCTTTTGAAAATGGGCTAAAGTTGAGCTTTGCTAAACTTACCTAAGATCAATTCATTCTAACTTTTATTTTGGTCAGCTCAAGCCTATATATTTGTCTTCTTTCCATCTATAACAAGGAAAAGAAAATGAGAGGAAAGGATATATCAAAGAAAGTGAAACAATTATTTTCATTTTTTTTGTTTATGAAAGATATATTGATATGTAAGTGTAAAAATGTGAAAAAATTATTAATTTTCCAGGAGAAGAAATAGTTATTCTCTTTAGCTTTTCTTTTCACTCTTTTTTCTCTTAGTAAAACACCAAACATAAAGTTCACATCTTTTCATGATTTAAACATGAAAAGATGTTAATTTGGAACAACAACATGCTTGGCTTGCGTTAGAAGAAAATGATGAAATTTCATCATAAAAAACCAAGTTAACAAAAGAGATCCAAATCCTAACAGAAGTGCCGGCAGGCTTTATTGCTTTTGGGGCCGCCTTTGCCCTTTTCATTTGGTTAATTGGAAAGTCTTTCTAATTCAACATATGAAAAAGGGTCTTGTCAGCCGAGCCTATGAAAGTAACCTCCATAAAACCAATATTGGTTTTAGTTATTTTTCCAGCCACCAAGACCAGCACATGTTTTTGTCTAATCTCTAGATTTTTCAGATCCTTGTTTTCTCTTTCAGCTATCCAGACATGTTTTTTTTTTTTTTTTTTTTTGTTGGCGTCTGAAAAGTATAATGTTATGAATGAATAAAAATGAAAGTGGGATAGATATCATACTTCAGCAAGCAATTAAAAAGACGCTTTGATTGGTACTTCTAACCTTTCCTTTGAGGAACTTACATATTCTTTTAATAAAGTTAGGGTGTTCTCATGTCATATTAATGCTTAATTTTCTCAATCAACGAGTGATTTATTATAAATTGATATGATACATTAGAAATTTTATTTGTTACATGAGTTTCATACGAATCAAATCTTGATCAATAGAGAAAATAAATTCCTTGCCTTATCAACTAAATTGATCATGTGAGTTTTTTTTTTTAATTGTAAATTTTTTTAATTAAAATTTTTTATTTTGTTGTATATTAAATAATTATATTTTTTATTAATAATCGTGTGATATATTAATAGATTGATAAATTAATTAAATTTTAATAATTTTAAGTAAAAAATAATTATATATTTTCCCATCTTCAAGCATGGTTAAGAATCACACTTTTTTTTTTTTTTCCTTTTGTCCAATTGATAACAGCAATTTCAATCGAAGTTGATTTTGAAGTGCTAATCTTGTCCCACCTTAACTATAGTTAATTGAAGCCTTTCCGAATTGATAAAAACAAATTTAGAAGTATTAATTAGTCTCACGGCACCTAAAATGTTCTTTTAGGTTTAAGTTTATTACTTGTGGATTATGTTAAATTTATTTAATTAATTGATTAGCAGATTTATTTGTTTATTTGATTAATTCAATAATTTTTTATATAGATAATATAATACTTTATTGTAATTTTAGTTTTAATTTTAATTTTTACTTATATTTATATTTGTAAGTTCATAGAAAAGCTATAACTTTTTTTTTTTTTTTGAGAATTAAAAAAGCTAATGGTTGGGAATTTGGTTGGTGAAGGAGTGGGAGTGGGAGTGGGAGATGATGAAAGAAACAAAGTAAAAAAAAACAATTCTTTGAAAAGTTTGGTTGAGTTTGCATTAACCAAATCAAATACAAACACATTGGAAGATGGGAATTGAGCCACGAATCCTATATAATATTGTTGTTAGCTTTTATCATGTCCTGTTTTTTAGTGTCAGTTCTTCATTGTAGGTGCTCTTTATTATTAATTTCAACGACATAATTGCAATCCAAAAATTGTGATGTAAAGAGAAAGATTTAATGTGATAAAGAGGATTCGAAAATTATGGTGAGAATTAGTTGAAACTGAGCATCAAAGTGAGCAAAATTTGACTTGTGGTTAGACCTTTGGTCGATAAAAAAAGTTTCATTAATGAAAGCAGATAAAAAAAAAAAAATTACAAAAGCAGCACCATTTTAGATGGTTCAGAAGAAAATATTCAACTATAATGGGAGACACATTGACAGTGGCCACCCAATCTGCTCTCTTTTAGTAGAAAAAAGTTAAATGTGGGTTTGAAATTAGTCAGGGTGATCAAGCTGTTCTTGATTTTTTTTATTTTTTATTTTTTGCAATATGGTAAAGAGTATCTTCGCACTTGGAACTTAAATCCATCTCAAGTGATTTTAAATGTGCATTTCTCGTATGAATTTACTGCATTTAAATTTTATTCTAGATAAACTGATTTTATCACTCAAATGTGAACAAGTTAAAACATAATGTATTAGATGGTGACTTTTTTGGCCTTCATTGCAACTAAATAATAAGAGATGATGAGTAGAAAGAAAGAGTGGTTGAGAGATCAAACTCTTAATTAGTGGACACTTCTTAGTTTTGGATGAACAATAGGGACAACTTAACAAGTTGACAAACTAGAAGACTAAATGGGGTTTTAATTTTTATGAGCCATAACCTAGCATTAATTTTAATAAGACTAATTAACAACTTGAACCTAATTAAATGAGCATTGATTTATATAAGCCTCAGCCTACCGTAATCTGAAACCATTTATTGTTGCCTGGTTAATTATTTTGTTTTACTTCGAGAGTTGATTAGACCTTACTAATTAAGAATTATTGCAGAAACTTGAGAGTGACACAAATTAGGGGGTCCATGGGCTTAACCTGTCTAATGCCAATGGCTATGTATTACTGCTTTATTATTAAAAGCAATCTTAAATTGTTCTTCTTCCATCTAATAACTACAATTCATCTCGAAGTTTCAAAGGTATGCTTGTTCAAGATTGAGAATTAGAAGGAAAAAAATGGAAATACTCATTAAAAAAAAAAGACAGATGCGGGGTTGTTGAAAAAGTTGGCAGGGTGTTTTTCTTGTTTTTCATTTTCATTTCTTTGGTCTTTATATCTTGAGTGAGACAAATGCCTTAATTACCAACAAGGCAACAACCCTACATACAAGTTGCAAATTGAAAGGAATTGGTACAGCCAAGTTGCTCATCAACCTGAAATGGCTGGTGTTGACAAATATATTTTCAAATATGATATTCATTCAAAGCTTGGTAGGGGAAGCAGTTACTTCATTAACAAAGACATCCTGTCTCATATTAAAATGAAATAATCATTGTTTTTCTTTCTTCATTCTCTTTTATTTTGGGGTTACGAAATAGTTCCAATAAAAATGTCATCTAGGCATTGTTTGTGGAGTTTCCAGTGCAGATTGGACGAAAATGGTATATCAATTTCAGATAAAATATGCTATTATATATCACATAATATGATCTCATCTACCTCTACGGCTATGCCATAAGTTTACATCCTCGTTCTTTACAAAGTATACAGAAAGGTCGATGAGAAGCTCAAAATACAATAAGGCACAAAAGGAAACAACAGAAGAGGAAAATTGAAATTCTGTTTAGTGACCTGTCAGCCTGCATCTCATGCCTTCTCAACCTGGGGCTACCACTTCCAGTTAGGGAATATGAGTTTGGATAAGCATATAAGCTTTCTGAATTTCCAAACACCCTTGCATATACCATCTCTCCAAACATCCCGATCATTGGATGATGAAATCCAGTCACCGTGGTGCCTCCAAGGTTAAGCAATGGTGAGGATGAATCTTCTTCATAGTAAGTATGGGGGTTATAATTCTGATTTTGATAAGGATTACGATAAGGAAGCTGCTGACCATTCGGGGATGTGGTTGATAAAAGAGCTTGGGTACCACAAGCCGGTGGTCTAGGGGGTATCACCATACTGCTATAAAGTGCCTTGCATCGGAGCTCAGATTCAGATTGGCCCCGGCCATAAAGGGGCACCATGGTTGTGTGGGATATATCAGCTTTGCAAACTGGACATTGTGGGTGCTCATGTGAGGCAAGGGAGGCACTCTGGACATGAAGCCACTTATAGATGCAGGGCCAGCAATAGAGGTGGCCGCAAAGAGTGACGATGGGCTCATGTGCAAAGTCTAAGCAGATATTGCAGTCAAAGCTACCATTCAAATTCTCAGATGTTGAAGCACTGGGGACAGTCTTCCATTCCTGAGCATAATACTGCTCAAATGCCATGTATCAGCTCTAAAAACTCAGATTTAACCACTAGAACACTCTTGACCTCTGAGACAAGAAAATGAAACAGGATCAGCACATAGAAATCCCAAATATCTGATAAATGCCCAACAAGCAACAATCTAACAACTAGAAAACCGAGAAAGAAGAAGGCAACAAGTCTAGAAGCAGACAAATGACTATAATTATGGTGCACTAGTATAAAAAACTAGCAACTTTGCAAGCAACTATATATGCAGAAGACGTGTGAAGGACCAAAATTAGGAAAAGCACAAAACAGATAAGACCCCACCGCATAACTTGATTCACATTTTCTTACCAAAAGGGCCAAAAGTTTTTGTACCCCTCTATCAAATGGATTAAAAAGACAGCAAATTTAAGAGACCCACAACTTGTATTCAGTCCTAATGTTATTTCAGTAAAATTTCTTTCTCAGGTTTTGTTTGAACTTTTCTTCAATTTCCATTTCTTCCCTACTAGTCATATTTCCAACCACTTACCAGCTATTTCTTCTTCTGGCCTGAAAAAAAGTAACCTATAGGATGCACTAATAACTAGCTTGACAGGGTGGCTTAGGGAATTCAATTCGAATGCTTTGACACTTTATTTTCCATTTTAAATGCTTTAAGTCCAACATTTAACAGTGCCGTTAAACCCTTCAATTTTCACCAAATTCCAAGCCTTTGTTGAAGTATAAAAACATAAAAAACTCCACATATGCAAAAATTTTAGGCCTTAATAGCACATTGAAAATGACTTAAAACTACCAAAAAAAAAAGGTAATTAAGGGAAAGGGTCAAAAAGTTTACTATTCTACTCATGGCTTTTGATAGAGTAACCAAGTATTCTCAATCCCACCGTAAATTTGGCCTTTGCTACCGGTATTTTTATTCTTTTAGCCGATTCACTTCGACACCTAGTTGTCCTATTTGGGGTTTCCCATCACACTAATTGCCACAAACTCCCCCCATTAACCCAGCTGCAAACCCAATTACCATTTTGACCCCACTGCCCACTTGTGACAAAACTTTAAACATTTGAGACAACATTCGTGAGTTCAAGTGAAGCACAATCAACAACCTGCGTCGTTTTATGTTTAACTTTGTTAGGGTGAAATTAGGTGAAACGTGAAACTTTGAAACCCATCAAACTATTAACTTGTTCAACTCTTCAAACAAAATACGAAGCTTCCAAGCAGCCACCACCAACAGACCCCTCCATCGTCGATGGGCCATGGATACCCAACATACAGCAACTCGTTTGAAGATAATTTTTTTTCTTGTTACTAAATTAAATATAAGTTTTATGAAATTAAAACATTGAGTTTGTAATTTCATATTTCTGCAGAATTGTTTTAATCAAAGGCGCCTATCAAAAAGCACGGTTTTATTAGTCTATCGATTCTTATTTCTGCGAAATGAAAGGGTAAATCTTGAGCTATTTTCCAAGGGATTTTAGCTAGCAATTCTTTCATATTTCTAACTTGTTTCTGGATAAAATGAAACAAACCTTTCCTGAAAAATTAAAGAAAAGAGGCAATTTTTTCTACACTTCAATCCTAGTTCCAAAAAAGAAAAACCCAAAGCTTACTCAATCAGAAGATACAAACACGGAGATCTTTTCATTAATCGAAACGAGAAAATAAAATTAAACAATAAAGGCCGGGGTAGGCAACCAAAAAACCATTAACGTACCTAAAAAAGAGCCGAAAATCCGACAAACTCTGAGTTTTTTTTTTTTTTAAAGAAAGACTCCACTCAGCTTCAATTCAATGGCTGTTTTATGGGGAAAAAAAAGAGAGAATGGATTATGAATTGATGCAGGAGAAAGAGATCTGATAATGGAACGGGAGAACGCGTCTATCGACGAGGCCCCTTTTATAGAGGAATCCGACTGCATTGTACAGTATAATTTTTTTTAATAATTTTTTAATGTTTCTACAATTTTTTTTTCTTGTCTTCAATTTTCTCCATATTTCTCATTAAAATAAGAATGAAAAAACAATTTCTGGTCCGTCAGAAAGACGAAGTGAATCGGTCCTACGTGGATTTGCCACGTGGTGAACGTTGGCAAGCCTTTGTCAGTGTAATTCTACACGGCTAATGACATTTTTTTTCAGTTTTGACTTTCCCATTTAAACCTACGTAAGCTTTATGAGATAGAAAACAGAATTAATTTTCCGTACAGCATTCAAATATTTAGGGTCGATTTGGAATGGTGGTAAATTGTTTTTTGTAATATTAAAAATTATAATAACATGAAATTTATTGTTAAAGCGGTGATGTTAAAATAAATTATGAGAATATGTATTTAAATAATACAACGATGATATGAAGTAAATTGTAAAAAAAAATTATTATTAAAAGTATTAGATTAAAAATTATATGTAAGTAAAATTTTAAATTTTAATATTCATAAAATTAAAAATTAATTAAAAATACCATTAAAATATTTTTATGAAAGATAATAGTTTTGTTAATAAATAATTAATAAATTAAAAGTTTATTACATAATAAATTTTATTTATTTTATTATTAATAAAATTTATTTATTATGTTAAATTTTAAAAAATTATATCATAATTTTTAAATAAATATGGAAATGAAGAAAAATAAAAATTGAATTATAAAAACATTTTTATCTTTATAATATAAAATGAAAAAAAAAAAATGAAAAACATATAAAAGGAAAATAAAGAAAGAGTGTCATTCTCATTACACCCAAAGCCTTTAATGCGCAAACGAGAATAACAGTCCCCAACCGTGCCACAGCTTCAATATCCAAATGAATATATAACGCGGTTGGTCACAATTTTTCATAGCAACCATGCCTCCACTAGAAGTTTAGTGGCATCTGAATACACCTTTAACTACTATAAACTTTTAAATGCATGTGATATTATTTTTATTAATTATTCGTTTATTTTACTTAAAATATTATTTTTATAAAAAACCAAATATAATAGTAAAAAAATTGTTAGTAGTATATTTAAATAATAAATTTATTAAACGATCATTTTTTAAAAATTATTGTATAAATCAATCATTTTCAATTTTGAATTTTAATAAAAATAATACTAATTTTTTAGTGTTCACAATTTGATATATTAATTTATTGTTATGCTCTTACGTGCGATTTGAGAAAACTAAAAATGATTTAATCTATACACAAGTCCTCAAGCTTTTAGTTTAATAACTAAGGTGTTTGAGCGGACATCAAGAGTCTGATTTCGAATCAAATGTATTTTTTTTAATTTGTATTAAAATTTATCTTTTTGATGTAAAAAAAAAAAAAATTTATACACAAGTTCGATTGCTATAATTGTCTAGTTTGCCTCTATGGATGTTTGGACTGTCATTGGTTAGAGATATGAAGTTTTACATTTTTCATATAGCTCATTAATTATGAAAATTTTACAATTTTTATATTGCTCATTATATTTCCCAAAAGAAAAATGCTCATTATCTTTTCTCTATGTACATATATCATTACAAACTAGTAAATTATTTTCATAAAAAAAAAATTCTGTTATACAAGTATATTCGAATATGTTTATTTTTTTAATGAATTTAATTAGAGATTTAATTCAATGAATTTATATAATCATTTTCAAAGACAACTTCAATAAATAAAATTAAAATTTCAACACAATTCTAACTCATTCTTTTATTTTTCACATTAAAATTTTTTTTTATATTAAAAAATATGTTCATTCTGTTGTTGGCTTGACCAAGTGATTGTAATAAAGTATAAATTATCCACTTTAATGGTATTATTCCTGGAATAAAAAAAAATACTGCTAGTACTTGAAAATATTCAGATGGTAAACTTCTCAAATTTTGAATTTAAGAATCTTAAACCTTCTAGATTTGTGATTTGTCTCCTTTGTTCATCAAACTTTGTCGTTTAATTTTTTTGCTCAACTTTTTTTTTTTTCCTTCAACAAACTTTGTCGTTTATTAGTCACTAGAAGAGTAGAATATCTAATTCTACACGATTACTTTGTTTTTTTTATTATTATTATTCCATGACATATTCACATGACGAATGAATGTCCCCTTGGACCTTTCACGATTGTTCTCATTGATTTTCTTGTGGGAGAATGGTTCAAATCCAATTCATTTACATATTTTTAGAGATTAATTTAAATAAACAAATCATTAAATTATTAATATTATATTACATGACATTAAAATTATAAAAAGTTTGTTTTTATTATAATTCAAGCATTGATATTATATAATATCTATTTTTTTGTTAAAAAGATTTTAATTAATGATGTCATTTACAAAATATGCTTACTCAAATTAATTTTAATGAATTGAATGACAAATATTTTAGAGAATACAATAAATAATTATGAGAATTGAATTTATTTATTTAATTAGTTATTTTTAATATTTTGATGGGTATAATTAAATTAAATTAAATTTATAGGTTTAATTTCATATAAGGAAAAATTGAGAACTAATTTTTATTTTTGAAAACAAAATTTGAAGACCTGTTTGAGTATTGTCTATATTTTCTTAACATTACACCTCCAAATTTACGAGAAAAATTATTTATGCATTCAAATATTTTACCATTCCAAAACTGTATTCCATTACTACTGATATTCCTTTTCGAGTTCTGTAGAGGATAGATCATAAGAGATGGGGTTGAATAATTAAATGGATCGTTTAAAAAAATTAATTAAAATTTTTTTTCTCTGTTTAATTTTTTTTGTTCAATTTTTGTGGATATCTCAAATTATTTTTTTTAAATATCTAAAACTCTTACTTTTTTATATTTTAAAAATATATTTTATGATTTTTTTAATTTTTGATATTAAAAGTCATGAAAATTTAATTTTATAAAAAAATTTTAATTTTAATATTAAATATATTAAAATCAAAAATTTTAAATTTCGTGAAAAATAATATCGTCTAAATAATTTGAAACTGAAAAAGTAATTAAATAGACTATATGATTTTATATTTATAGTTTTAACCTTATAAAATAATTCATCACTTTTTAGAGCATATTTGAAAATATATTTTTTAATTTTTTTCAAAGATAAAAAAATTTTAAAAATTAAATTAAATGCTAAAAATAGAAGTATTTTTTATTGGCCACTACCAAATATAGAAGTCTAATCTTACTAGAATATAAGCAAACCTTTTGAAAACTTTAAACATTTGCATTATCATTTTTTTCCCCGATTATCTCGCGTTGCTGTGCATTTCTAGAAGGAAGGTGTTGTCAAACAAAAAATTAGCAAAAAAATCCGCATTCTGGCCCAATCAGAGAATATAAAAATAATTTCACAATAGAAAAATCGGTGCTATTCACCTTTTTGACCAGAATTTGATTAACCAAGTTGAAGAATGGATTAGGCGTCCATGAGGCTACTCAGATAAATTGGACGACCCAGATCTTGATTTTCTTTATGCAATAAAAACATGGGAAGATTTAGCCCCTCTAGAAGACAGCATGGAGAAGGTGCTAAATGCTGATTCGTCTGTTTGTCAAAGTCGAGACCAACTTGTTTTCATTTTTGTGCGACTATTTTCCACATTCATTTTCAGTTTTATTTTTAATATTTAATTAAGTCTTTGATTAAACTGAGATTTTGTTCATGTCCACATTTTTTTCTCATAATATAACATTTTAACATTTTAATTTACATGCCTTCATCCGATTATTGATTCTACCATGTTGTTTCCTTGTTTGAAAATTTTAATGTTGGGGGCGAGGAAAGCGTGAAAATTTTACATGAAAATTTATGAATTTTAAAATATAATTTAATAAAAATTTTAAATCAATAAATTAATAAAATTTAATATAAAAATTAAAAATTTTGTTTATAATTTAATCAAAGTTTATTTAACAGTAAAAATTTTATTAAATATTTAATTTATATAATAAAATTTTTAATTTATCAATTTTAATTTATTTAATTTTAATTTAATTATTTTTAATAAAAAATTTTATAAATTTCATTTAAAAAACTTTTTCTATAACTTTTCCCACCAAAAATTGTCCTTTTGCTGATTGATTGTCGAGAAATGAAAAAGAAGCAGCTCTTTGTATCATTTTTTATGTTAAAGTGTTACACTTGTCGTTTGTCCTTTTACATTATTTTTTTTGGATTTTGTTTTTATTTTTGTTTTAATTAAAATTTCCAAAGAGGATGGTTCCAGGTTAGTACATATCTGGACACTGGACATCTGGGGGGGGTTCTAGATGCTGTACTTTAACACTTGTCCAATAGAGATGAGGTAATACATGTGGTGTAACCTTTTACCCAACAATCCAATTTTCAAACAACATTTAGCTGATCATAGCAAATTTCAAAGCTGAGAAACACGTTCAAAGAGTCAGATTTTTCCAAGTTTATTATTGTAAACTATGGATTACCATTTTCAATCAAGCTGAAGCGGTAAAGATCCAATTCAAGGACCGCAAGCTGACCATCCAGATGAATGATCAGGGGCGACCGTTTGGGGTTGATTTTCAAGCTCAACGCACACGGTCAACAGAGCTATGGTCTCCAACAACTTAAATTAATATTGCTGTCGAGGATCTCCGGGACCATCGAATCCTCGAAGATCATAATTCATCGGAGGAGTATTTAACTTGGACTGTCCGACTTTCATTTACGCTTGCCTTTGTGGTTCTCACTGGAAGTACGTACTCATTAATCCGACCAGAACCTTTGCTTACGAAGGAAAAAAAAATGTCATTTTTTTTTTCTGTCGTGAAACTTTCATAAATTAGATATATATCAAGTTTAATACGTTGAAGAAAATATCAAGATCTTGTGTTCAAAAACGAAAAGCGTGTGAGGTCCCAACCCACACTTAAAATTTTTTTACTCAATATATACCAACACCTTTTTTACACAAAAAATTATTTACGTGAGAAAAATATTTTTTTATTTAGAAGAGGGCATAACTTTTACAATAAAAAAATAAAAAAAACTTTGGATCGAAATCAAGACTTTTGTATTCTCATAAAGCTCCTTAAACCACTTAATCAAGTTGTGAAGGAAAAGATTATTTTATTTTAAGATCAAATTATTGCATTTATTTTTAATTTGCAGTGGAATGAGTTGGCAGATGCTGGTAGTTACTACAAATTAAGTAAACGTAATTAATGTGAATAAAGTAAGAATTAATTAAATTAATTTAAATCCGATTTATGACAAGTAAGTATCAATAAATAAAAATTTAAGTTTCATAACATTGTATTTGACTATATATATTAAGGAATCTGAATGGTTAAAATAATAAAAAATTAAGAAATTTATCATTTTATTTAAATAAATTTATATAGTTTTATTACACTTAAATAAACTTTTAATATTTACTTTGCATTCCAATAAACGCTTAAACTTTAATTTGTATTTAAATTAATCCTTATATTTTAATTTGTATCTAAATCAATATTTTATTAGAAATAATGACATATTTAGATACAAATCAAAGAATAAAAATTTATTTTAGTATAATAAAAAATGAATTTATCTAAATAAAATAATAAAATTTAAGAACTCTTTTAATATTTTAATCGATATAAATTTATTAACAAGTGAGATTTTCTTTTAACATATAAACTATGAAGTTTTTTTAAGGGTTTTTTTATACTTTCTATAAATTTAATTAATTGGTTCGATTAGGCTAGTTGTATCATATGCTATGTATTATTAATGATTTCCACAAAAAACAGTAAAATAATATCTTAAGCAATTATATATTCTGAGTTCTTTGTCAAAAATAAAGGCATTACAAGTTTTATATAAATTATAAATTATTTCTCAATATAATTTTTAAAATTCATTAAAATTTATTGTACTAAATACTTAAAGATTAGTTTAACATTATTATTGCAGTTAAAAAAACTGCATTTAAAAGGTGTGATGAAAAAAAATATAATAAATTTTTTTTAAGTATTTAATATTATTGTGAAAAGGTATTGCGAGCAATTAAGATATCTACAAAATACGAATAAAATATTAGAAAGATAAGAATAATAAAGTAATTTTTTATTCCAAATAAAATTTTTCATCACAAAATAGCTTGAGCATTTTGGTTTGAGTTAGAAAACCAAAATCTTAAATTGAAAAGTCAATTTTTTTTTTTTATTGTTTAACGTTGCATTCCGATAAAATTAGCATTTGAACGTAAAAATTATTTTCAACAATAATGTTAAACAAAGGTTAATTATATACTATGGAAGAATAATCGTTTGTTTGTTTGTTTGTTTTTTTACTTATAGCATATAATTTATATAATAATATGTATAAATACATTAAAAAATATTTTTATTTTAATTATCTAATTATTAAATGTTATTTAAAACTTTAAATTAAATATTATTAAATCTATTTATTAAATTAAATTTATATCTATATAAGAAATTATATATAATTTAAATGTAAAATATGCGAAAAGACACTAAAATTATGAAGTAAAAATATAATAATATTATACTAGTATTAATATTAGCCATGCTTGTTGGTCAGATTCGTGGAGATTGCAAATTCAACATGATGTAAATTAGAAATTAAAAATATCTTTAATTCAATTGGAAATAAATTTATGTTCTTGAAATGATACATAAGCTAATTTGAATATTTGAAATAAGAGAAAAAGAGCGCCAATTGAGCGCGCAACTAAAACGGCATTTCTTGTTTACGAACGGCCAAAATCTCTTCATTTTCCAGAACTGAGCGAAATTAAAAAAACTCTACTGTCTCTCACACATAAAAAAAACCTCACTCGCTAGCCTTTTCTCGATTTTATACTCCAAAATTTACCAAAAAGAAAAAACAATGTCGACAACCAAAGCCAGAACCAAAAAGCGCGGATCGGAGTCCTTGTTCGTCAAATCGGATCCGAAAACCCGACTGGTTGATGATTTCGATCCTGATCTTTCCAGGTCATTCTTCTCAACAATTGTTATAGGTTTTCTGTGTGTGTGTGTGTGTGTTTTTTTTTTTTTTTTTTTGTAGAATATTTTGTTTATTGAGGAAAATTTGGTGGAAATTGCAGCGATCTCAAAGGGATTATGTCGGCGCTGCAACTTATCAAAGAGAAAGCGCAGAAAGATGGTCAAAAGAAGAACGAAGACACGATTTCTAGGTAATATAAATTTTGATTTGTTATTTTTTAATATAACGATTTCGATTTGAATTTTTTATAATAAATGAAAATTTTACGTAAGAGCTGTGATTGTTTGGCGGTTTCTTCACTATCTCATCCGTTAATTCCAAGATGAAGTTGTTTTTCTTGCTTTTCCTATTTAGTAAGGATTTTTTTTTGAATTAAAGTATAATTTTGGTCGATCAGCTTCCATAACTTCGAAGAATTTATATGAGTTTCATAAGTAATTTGTTAATTTGATCTTGTTTCTCAATTTTTACTGTATTTAGATTTGAATTAACGATATATCGTGTTATTGTTTGCTATAAATTCCTTTTATAGATTGCTGATACGTGAAGATCATTACGCTTTCGCAAAGGATTTTATGAATTCGTCCTTGCAATTTGTCTATTAGATCTCTTCTTCACATAACTAATTTTATTTTGAAGAAAATGAAATAATAAAACCGTTACATACATTTGTTTTTTCAAACATTCTTTTAGTTTTTTTTTTTTTTGGTTTCCTTTTTACAATTCTCACCAGTTTCTGCTATTATTTAATCTCTTACTTGAATGTTGCGGTTACAGTGTGGCTGCTGAGATAAGGTCTAAGCTTGATGAATTGAAGTCAAAATTTGAGAAGGAAAGGTATAATCCAACCTTGAAACAAATTTTAAAGCACATTTCTAATGTAAGTATACTAATTTATTGTTGTTGATTTGTTTCTTTTTACTGTAGACAAACTTTTGCCAAGGCACTTTCAAAGAGCTCAAAAGAGGTGAATTTGTTATTTGGATTTAATAAATGGTTTAAAAGCTTGAAATGCTAATGTGATTGCTTTGTTTGCAGTGTGAAAACTGCTTGAAGGATGAGACTGCAAAGTTCCAAGAGGTTTATGAGAAATTCTGCAAAGAAAAAGTTGCCCATCTGCAGGCCTTGAAAGGTAGTTTTCGATGAATTACTATCAGAATATGTTGCAATGCTTTGTATCTTTTGTTTGCCAGTATCCTCAGACATAAAATATTTAATCTATTCTAATGCTGCTGATATGACAAACATGCTCAAAGCCTCAAACTAGTGTTGTCCTACTTCTTTGTGCTACATAACGTAAAGCCTGAAGATTCATTAAAATAACCAGAAAGGGTATTTAGTGGAATTGACCTGTACATATTTATTTGATCATTTGTTACTAGCTAATTTGCTTGTTATGCTTTATGTATGATTATTTATTTGTTCATTTGTTAGTAGCTAATTTGCTTGTTATGCTTTATGTATGATTGCTATGTTTTAAATTTTGGTAGAGTAAATGAAGTTCCTCTATTTCAAAATTGATCTGATTTTTCTAGCTGTTGGGACTAGTATGTGAATTCTGAAATAGCCCACGACTTGTTCCTATAGTAGATAGATCTTCAAATTGTTGTATATCATTCATGCCTGAGCTTGTTGGTACTGATATAACTCTTTACTCTTCTAAGCATTTTTGCCTTCAGCATTAAATATTTAAATGAGACATTTTATGAAAAATAAAGCAATTTATTTCTTTCATCAAGTGATAAATAATAACCATAATTGACTTAGATTAAACTTTCAGAATTTCAGCTTACGATCTTAAAAACAAAGAATTTTAAATCGATACTACTAAAAAACTATATTTCTCTGTGGATGGAGACTTTTGATTATGTTCTAATTGTCAATGCTGTTCCACAGATACTATTTCCAGATTTGAGGAAGACAAAGAAAGGCTGTTTGTGCGATATGATCAATTGAGTGAGCAATAAAGCAACAAATTCTGTTCTCTGTTTTATTGAAACGTGATTCTAATAAGTTGATATTGGTTTGGTATTAGGGAAGAGAGAGAAGAGCTTAATATCTGAGCAGGAGAAATTCTGTGCTGATAAAATTGTTCAGTTGGAGGAGTCCTTGAAGAAAAAGAAACAGGTAACTAAAAAATGAAAACCCAGTAGTTGAATATGCCCTTTTTATGACTTGAGGAGCTGTAATTAATACCAATTTTACATTCTGCAATAAGGATGACAGAACTTTCAGCATTTTGAGGAAAACTCTTGGCACTTTTCTGGACAATGGCTCAGATGAAGACTTCCCACCTGAAGAATGAAGATTTGCTTTAGTAGACAGACGGGTCAGCCACATCTTTTTGAGATATCCTTTTCATCCTTTAAATTTGTAGCTTAGGCTTTATGGCATCCAAAAACTCGGAAAATTTTGTTATCTGAAATTCGTGTACCATTGAATCTTCTGAAATTCTGAATGCATTGTTCACCTCCGTTGGGAAATACCTCCTAACATTCTGATTGTATGTTTTTTCTCGTTTGCTGATGCTCAGATGCCTCAAGACACCCGTGGCTTGGTAAGTAAAGGATAAATATTGCTCCTAGAATTTGAATTTTATTCCTATGTTCAATTCTTGGTTTAAAAGTCTTTGCCACTCCAACTATTGTAGAGACATTCAGCGTTTGAGACTCTTCTACCATAAAGCATGTCAAGAACAAGAATTTGTCGCTTCAATTCATTGCCTAAGTTTTATCCCCGTCTGCGCTGGCAAGCATCAACCTCACATGCAATTTGTCAAAAATGATTTCTCTGAATTCTTTTGAGTTTTAATGCATCACTTACTAGTAATAATAATAAAAAAGATATGTTGATGAATTGCATTGGTAGAAATTGAAGTTCAAACCTCATGACAAGAGAGGGAGGAAGAAACAGATAATACATCCAAAAAGATTGTAAGTTTCATTAGGACAAAATACTGTATTAATTTCTATACATTGATAATTCAACTAAACATCAGATAAGAAAAAGGTAGTCAAGGATCAACAGACTAGACATGTATTGGCAGTTTAATGAACAACGTTGGGAGGGGTCGGTTGCCCCTGTTGAACAGACCACGGAGGGCGTCTATTGTGTTCCTACACATGAAGCATGCATCAACATAATCAGTTTACTGATCTTGCCGCTATATCACAGGAAAAAAAGACTGCAACAATAACAATCTGGTATGTGCAAACATGTTGAAGCAAGCAAGTCAACATAAAATTGCAAGAAGAAAAAAAAAAAGAAAATCACATACCCCAATTTCTGTCACAAAATGGCAAGAGGAACACTTTACTGATGGAGCTCCATAGGGGTACATCAGCAACACTGTACAACTGTCACACTTAACCACTCCAACCTGATGAGCTGAAAATGCAGGATAGGTTAATCAGATGATTGACGATACATTCTACCAACAAATCACAAAAGTGATAAATCATCTAAAACTAGAATGCATACACTTGTCAATGTGAAAGGTCCAAGACTTTTAACAACTATGATTTGAGGTAATATCAGTAATGAGAACAAGAACATGGAAGTTGTTTTGAAACAATGGTGATAAAGGATAGAAAAACAGAGGAAACATCCAACAGAAAGCTTTATTACTGCTCTTGGGAGAGACCAATTATATGTTTGAGTTGGAGCATCAGAACCTTCAAGTACAAAGTTGACAGTTTCACAGCATGAACATTTAGCTAGCAAGGTTCCTCGTGGATATGAAAGCAGTTGGCGGCACGAACCACAAACCATTTGAGCCATTTCTGCATCCAAATGGGCAAACAAGCAAAGTTAAAAAAAAAAAAAAGAAAAAAAGAAAAAAAACAATGAAATGCCACGAAATTGTCCAGGCAAATAGAAGAAAAGAATTCAAGAAAACATTACAAAAAATATAATTATAGGTCAAGATCAGCCCTTTCAGCCAAAGAGTTTACTCTAGTTGTAACCCTTTTTGTTGTCATAATTGGAGAAACATCCAGTGGTAGGACAAAAAAACCAAAATTCAACCTAATACTAGCTGAAAATCTGTAGTTTCTCATTTGACAATTGTTATACATAAACTCACTCAGTCAATAAGGCCAACTTACACGCTCAATATGTCAGCATACGCCCAACTACTATATCATCACTAAAGTGAATTGACATCTAGACTCCTCGTCACAACATGAGCTCGCCTCCACTACTTTGCTCATGGAAAGCCTCGCCCAACTATCACCACTAATGTCCCATCAATGTATCACTTCATAACGGATCAACTAGCTTCTAATTTTCTTGAGATCACTAAATGCAATTCACGCTGGCCTGAGATCATTAGATGCAGCTTACGCTCATCCATGTGGCTCTTTTGCAAGCTCCACATGAATTTCTCATCATCTGTTAACAACTCTGATCACATCACTGCCCATTATCTCATTTATAAGATAAAAAAGAGGTTCAGTTATGGTATTCTGAACCCTTCTTCCTAAGCTTTCTTCACATTCTCTGCAACTTGTTATTTTCCTCTATGAAATCTTAGACACTTTCTTGATTTCAACATCAGAGCGCATCCCCAAAAATTAACCTCACACCTTTTCACCGTAATTTCCTCATGCAGGTACATGTTATTCTCAGCTCACCCTCTAAATCATCATCCAACTCACTCGTACCCAAAACGCCATCAACAACAATGAATTTTCACATGAAGCTAAGGTGGGTGAGATGGAAACGAAGGTACTAGTTAAAATCCCAACTCAATTCCCAAATTTATCAATTTCGAGGCAATATAGAAAAAGTGAAAGTGGTTTTCTCCATGAAATAGGCTAAAAATCGAAAGCAAGGCAATAGTAAGATTAATGATAAAAAAAATCAAGCCATACAAATTTTAAGGCAATAGTAAGATTAATGATAAAATAAACAAGATCAAATTAATAGTAATGGATAATTATTTATGAATAAACACGTTTAGATGACCGACCAGATGACAGGTGCAGCGGCTGTTGCGGAGCAGAAGCTTGAGGAGGAATAGATTGCCATCCTGGCGGCGGCCCCTCTTCTTCATCTCCTTGTTGTTGATCTCCCTTGGGCTGCTTTGCCTCAGCTTCTGTGTTATCCATTTGCTATTTTGCTATATGTTTCTCTCCGCAGATGAATCACTGAAAAGAGTTGGTTTATAGAGGAAGACGCAAAAACACTAACGGCACGGTTCGGATTTATGACAGTCCTCAACTTGGACCCAAGCGGATTTATGACGAACCAAAAACACGTATTCCACATTTTAAAAAAAAAAAAAAAAAACCCCTAACAAAAAAGGTTGGTAACAATTTGAATTAGATCGTATTCATTTATCTTTTTATAATGTACATGATTATGCATTTTTTAAATTTTATTTAAATCAAATCAAAAATTTTATATAATTTAATTTGATTTGAATTTAATTTTATTGATTTAATTTGATTTATGATTTTTAAATTTTAAATTTTTTTAGTTTTTATATATTATTTAAATATATTTAAATAAAATTAAATATAAAATAATTATTTTATTTTATAAATATTTTAAAAATATATAAAAATTAATAAGAATATATAATTTATTTCGATTTGATTTTTTAAAATTTTAAAATTTTTATTTAAAATTCAATGAAAATGAACATTATAATTTTAAATTAATTTTTGATTTTCTCAATTAAAACTCACAAATTACTCTTTAAAATCTATAACATTATATAAAAACAATCTCCATCGTCTATTGTGGGCAAAGATCATCATTGTTTTAAAAAATAATTTGAATGATAATTTTAGGCTTAAAACATATATATGAGCATAAAATTGTTTTTCCAGCGGTTCGCTGCTCATTGCTGTCCACCGCTACCAGCACACTGTCGGTAGTCCTGCCTTCATTTTTCTTTATTTTCTTCTTTGTTCCATCATTTACGCCATTCAGCCTTTTTTTTCCCCATTTGTCTTCTGTTTTTATTTTTAATTCTTTATGGTTTCATTTTATTTGATTTTAAATTTTTGATTGAAGAATTTCATATGGAATTTCTTTTCATTTTTTTGGCTTTCTTTGCATGCATTTGGGTATATTTTTTTGGTTCAATTTTTTTAATTGAATTGTTTTTCTTTTTTCTAGTTTTTATGAAGTTTGAAGTTTCCATGGCTTCCAATCACAGCCCAATCTAGGCCCAGCACCGATCTCTTGTGGCGCTGCTGCCACCATGCCAGTTGAATCGAATCCTTACATTTCTCTTGCTCCAGTTCAATCCTCTTCAGTCCAGAGTAACCCACTCCCAACGATTCCACTTGCTTCAGTTTATACTAAATTGGGTTTTTGATTAGCTTTTGAATTCTATTTAACTCATTTTTGTTTATCCAGGAACTAGATCAGTTAGGTCAATTAGAAAAGGAAATTCAATGCTTATGATTTTTTTTTTTATTTCTTTAACTCAGCTTGCTGCTCCTTAGCTCTTCTTTCCCCTGACAGCTTTTCTTAGATATAGGGATTTCATTTCTAGCATTCAGTCAGAGACTATCATGCAAAAGTCGTGCAAGGCTTTCTATTTTGAAGATGGTATGATATTGATTAATTTCTTTTATGATATTTATTTGGCCAAAGGTTTATTAGCATTTTTTATCTTATTTTTTTAAAATGGATATAAATACATGGGTATGTCTTTCTGGTTTTTGTAAGACTTTAATTCATGTGCATTATAATCGTTCATTTGATGACCATTTTATTTGGAATAAGCCATTAACATCTAACAGTTGTCAAACCTGTCTTGCACTTAGTAGTTAGGCCTTCCAAAAGGGTGCCCAATAGATGTTAATGGAGGCAATATGTCAAAAGAAGAAAATAGTTTTAGTTCAAATTTTCTTTTAAAATCTGTCTCTGGAAAAGTGTGAAAGCGATAATATGAAAGTTTTGACTGTAATTTAGTTGTATAATGAGTTGGAGTTGGACTTTTATGGTACTAGACTTGCATTTCCATCTTTCTGGCATTTTTAGTGCATTTTTCAATTTTCACTTACAAAAAGTACATAGGGATGAGTAACAGGTGTCTGCTTGAAGACAAACATGCAATCCTTTTTATGTAATTATTATGTTAAACAAAAAAAATTAACTTTCATAATTTACTTGTGATGAGGGGGGTCTGGTTGATCTGTTGTCCTTTTTATAAGTGAGTCAATTATTGGTGGCACTTTGGCATCATTCTTGAAGAGTTCCACTACTGTAATTTCAGCCCTTCAATAAACATTCATTTTCATGTTTGCAAGTCCTCGATTGTGCATGTATATGAATTTTTTAGTGCATAACCCGGTGATAAAGTAGCAGTTGACGAACCAATTGCTCAAATAAAAACAAATAAAGTACTTTCTTTACCTTTTCTTCTATTAAGAAAATATGTGTTTATACTTTTAATACCTGATGTGTTTGTTAGTTTTAAATTAATCTTTATTTTAAAATAATAATATATTAAATTAAATAAATTTGATTATATTTTTGTAAATAGATTTGTTTATTACTTATTCTTAAATTTTATTATTGTTATACTAAATACATAATATGTTTATCAAAGTGATGCTTAATTTGCTAGAACTTGAAAAAATATTTTTAAGTGTTTTATCAAGTGCAAAATTGTTTTAGAGCACAAGCTAACTTCTTTCCATAGTTTAAAAATATTTTATGCAGAAGGGATTGATCCCTTCAATGGACATGATTGATCCCCTTTTGCATAAGATTGATCTGATTTTTACCCAAAAAACTTTTGAATTTGATTTTTAACAAAATCAATCGATCTCTCAGCATACAAGATCGATTTGGTCAAAGGTTTATAAAATAGGATTGATTCTCTTTTTGACAAGTTAGATCAATTTTTTATCTAAAAAGCAACGAAGTTGAAAAACTACTGAAAAGGATCGATCCCCTACAAAAAAAGGTTGATTGGGTAAGGTATAGGATTGATTAGGCCCATTACCCAATCAATTAGGCCTTGTGTAGAATGTTTCAAATGGCTAGTTTTTCAAATGGTCAACAAGTATTTTCTCTTTCAATCAATCCCTAACGGGCTACAAACTTATTTTCTCTATAAACAAGGCATCCTAACATATCAAAAAAGTTGATGAAACAAGAGAGCAAGTACTAACAAGCCTATATTCATATCTTTCAAGAAATCAAAAGTTTTAAAACTGAAAGTTTATATCTTTTATATTTATTGTATCCAAGTTATCTTTATTGTTTAGTCATCATTTCTTGTATTTTATTAAGCAAATACTTAACTTTAGAGAAGTATTCTTAATTTGTAAAACATTTGAGCTATTTTATAATCAAAATGTGAGATATCTTATTGAATATTTTAAGAGTTTTTGTGAAAACTCATTTGGTGAGATTAATGGTTGGTACTTTATCCTTGAAAGGTAAGAAATTAGAGGTTGATATCTTAGCCTAAAAAGATAGGAAATGAGAGGTTGCTATCTTAAGCCTTGAAAAAGATATGGATTTGAATTTAATTTATTTAATGGATTGATCTTGGCTAGAAGTTAAGGGAGATGACGTAGGTGCCTTTGTAGAATGACCAAACCTCTATAAATCTTTAAGTTTTATTTCTCTATCCCTAGATTCCTTACTTTCATTGTTGTTGATATTTGCTTTAAGATACATTAATTGTTGTTTATTGCATCATATTTTCATCAAAGAATATATTGAATTTAATTTTTCATTCAATTTATTGAAATATATTTTTGAGAAAGAATTTGGAGAAAATTCATTTCACCCTTTTTTGAATTATTACTTACACTAGGGGTGGTAATGGTTCGGTTTGGATCGGATTCGGTTCAAATTTTTTGAATATTGTATTGTATAATATTATGAAAATTTAAAATTTAATCCGAATTTGAACTGAATCTTTATTCAATCCAAATCCAATCGAACTGAATTTTATCAATTTGGTTTGGTTTATTGGTTTTTAATTTTTAATTTTTATGTATTATTTTAATATAAAATTATCATTTTTATTTTATAAAAATTTAAATTATATATAAAACTTAAGAAAAATATATAATTCAACTTTTTTTTTAATTTTTCACCTTTCGATCTGAAATTCGATTTAAATCTAATCTATATATTCTATATTTGAATTTGATCCAAACTGAATAAGAAAAAAAATTGATCCGAACAAATCGAACATTACGGTTTCGAATCGATTTTTTAATTTTTCAATTTTTTATCTCCCCCTTAACCTACACTTGAGCTAATAGTGTTTATTTTCATTAGGTAACAACTTGTTAGCTTTATAGGTGAGATGGTGATCCAAAAGAGGGGGGTGAATTGGATTTCTCCAAATGATTTCTAAACAAATGATTTCAATATAATTGAATGAAAATTAAAACAATAAGCATTTTTGATAAAAATATAATGCTAACAATAACAATCAATAAACCTAAAATCAAATATAAACAACAATAAATTGTAAGGAGATAGGAATAAAGAAATCAAACACAATGATTTAAGGTTCGGTCTTTTTCCACAAGCCACTTACGTCATTTTTCTTGGTTGTTCACACCAAAGTTTCAATCCACTAATTGAAGAAAATTTGTTACAAGATACAAGCCTATCTTGTACTAAATCTCTATCTTTTGTTCAAGGCTTAGATAGTAACTTCTACCCTTACAATATCAAAAGGATACCTCACCTCTTGTTCTCTTCTACCATTGTATATTGAAGGTAATTTTGCAAACAATTAAACAACCTCTCTAAGGCTAAGTGTTTGCTAAGTTTAAGTACAAAAAAATGACGAATAAACAACAAATATAATTTGGATACAATAAATACAAAGATATAGACTTTGAAACTCTAAAAACTCTTGATTCTTTGAGAGAATGAAAATATGACTTATTGGCTCTTGCTCTCTTGATTCATCAATCATCTTGATGTGTTGGAGTGCCTAATTTATAGAGAAATTGAAGAAGTAGCCATTAGAGAAGGTTGGAGTGAAGAAATACCCGTTAGAATCATGAAAAAGTAACCGTTGGTGTGCTTGAGCCTAGAACCGATCGATCCCTTGCTTGAGGGATCAATTGGTTCATGTTTGGAACCATTTTTCACTTTCACATGAAAACAGCCTAATTGATCGATCCCTTTTTGTAGGGGATCGATTGGTTAATGGGGTGATCGATCCCCTATATGGGGGGATCGATCCCTTTTTTGGATTTTCAGTCCTGGAAGCATTCTGTTTGAAAAGCAATCGATCCCTTCTAGAGGTAATCGATCCTGTCT